TGTCTTTCTAGTCTCTACATAGTCTTCATCCCGTAGGTTGCGTGATCGCTAGAGCAAAATGAAAACAAAGCATTTATAAAACCATCAAAGGTGAAAGAAATGTTCTGACGCAACAAACATTCACACACTGGTTGTATAACTGAAAATATTTATTGTTTTACCAACGGCGCACTGCTCTGGAGTCTGGACGAGGTGGAAGTCGGGTGGAGGTCGGGAAGAAATATCGTTTTTAGTTTGAAACATCTCAAATTTAATTCGTACAGCACGAGATGAGCTTACGTAAATAATTCTATTCCCACTACACGTCAATCGTCACTTGAGATGATTGAGAGAGAAAGGCAGACGGGTCACAACTCATAAACTATGTTTGCAAATCTTTTAAGAGGTGCGATAACTTTGTGTATGGGACATAATAGTCTATGCAGCGAACTTGTCTATAAAAATAAGCTATAGATGGGCGCCATTTTATGAGATTATACTCAATCACATTTACTTAAAAGGCAACATGGTACATGCCTTGTGGATAATCATCTTGACCTAATGTTTATTTATTTTCATTTTAACGCACCAATTTGCGCAAATATTTTCATAACTTTTAAGATCAGATCAGCGTCAGTTGCATTCATGCAGGAACGTTCCAATAAATAAACCACTGCAAGTCATTAACATAACATGCGCACAAGCTGCGCGCAAATGAGACGCGTCTAGAGAAAAAAAATGCGCCTGTTATTAAAACGCTACAGTCATACACGACAGACAAATATTTTAATTGATACCAAATGCTGCACATTTTAAAAATATAAACGACGTGCTCGATAATCGACGACCTTTGCTGTACTATAATGACTTATGCCGTATTGTATCGAAGTCAAAAGATCTAGACTTCGCTGTGTACTACCGTTAATTAAAGATCTGGCATGTTTTTCAACGCACTGACAGATTGCAATTGTCAACACCGTCTTCGTATATCCACCGCAAACGCCTTTTACATATACACGGCATATGCTTGCTATTATAAACGCCAAAATTCACGACGAACAAAATCATTTTAATAACCCTGTATGCGAAGATAATTGCTTCGAAGCTGAAGGGTCTTTTCTGGCAAAATCGTACCCGAACTAGAGTAAAAGAACTATAGAGTGCTCATCTCAGTCAAATGCTGTGGGCATCCTTCATACATTTGGATGAAAACGACTGCAGATAATGCAAGCAGCTGAACTAAAAAATTACCGTCCTTAAAATCGGACGTTACATTAAAACCATTACAAACATTTTATTTTGAAAAATTTCATGATCCGTAATTGTGATTAATCCTAAATGGATTACTGACGTGCATGAATTTTTATTAAGATTCCGGCAGAGGGAGTTCTTCTGAGTTCTTACTACCCGCAACAATTTTATAATCAGAGTATCATGGGTTTATTTCCTTCCGTATATTTTCACCGAGTTATTAGAATGAAGGAATATTTTTTCAGGAAATAGGAAAGAAGGTAACCATAAGCAGACAAGATCACGACAAGCGTAGGTTTAATTATTAAATGTTTTAATCTTCAGAGAACGATTAAGATCGGAAAATGGTTGTATACATAGACATATGGTTGTTTTGATCTTTAGAGAACATTTAAGATCGGAACGGAGCAGGTTTTGTATCTAGACATGGTTGTTTTGATCAGAATTACTGTATCGCAATGCTGACATTGTGTGTGGTACGCAACTACAGTGTTGGCAAAGCAACCAGTGCGGAAGCAGCACTCTTCGTGATCATAATATTAACTGTACGCTAACAAGATCACGGCGCTATCCGTGGCTATCTAAACAGAAGAGAGGGCTTTGCAATGACGGTGGCCAATTGCAGATAGACAAAATTAGAGTAATAAAATCAGCAGGATAAGAATCACAACCCCCCTACAGTCATATGGTACATCGTAAACTATTTGCTGTGGCAATTTCAATACATCGTAGCTTATCACTCCAGTAATCAGAGCCCAGACAAAATTCTTTCAACTGTACTATATATACTTTTAAAAACAATTCACACAATCAGCGAGGTGCTTGAATGAGACCACGAAAATTGAAGAAAATGCACTAGAAATTGATTCGCCTTTTCTTTATTTGAATAATCGAGTTTGCATGGTGAAATATCTTCAGGTATTTTCGGACAATCTGCACTCTATTGAATTTAATATCAGGCACATTTAAACTTGCACATTTTGCTGCGATTAACTTCTTTTGATAGATGTGAACGAGTAATTAGTTAGGAATGCTCTGATGTATAACAGCTCTTATTTGAACATCAGTAACTAATTCACTCGTTCACATCTACCAAAAGAAGAAAATCGCAGCAAAAATTGCAAGTGTAAGCGCGAGTTTACAATGCTTTACCATTAAAAGAGATCTGGGATTATGTTCGCTAGACCTAAAATCTTGGGTCTTGTTAAAAAGCAGTTCCGATTCTCCGCATTAGCGCGAATCTAGCGTGATCGTGTTCTGACATGTATGTTTGAAAACATATTAATTAAAATACGCATTGATAAGTAAATTTCGTACCTCATTAATGATATTTAAATTTGCGTCTATTTATCTATCGTATAATCAAACACTTCCTGGGCAGCACTGATGTGCACGAAATACAAAACTGTCGAGCAAAAAAAAACCAAATCGCTCGAAATCTTTTTTAAAGCACTATATACACCATTTCATACCCAGTGAAATAATATACAAAAGGAAATCAAGGTACTCAGCGTTTAAAAAACCGCTTCTGGTTAAAAATAATTGGACTCTATAGTCACGCAATGCCCTGACAGCTCGTCTAATTAAAATTTTCACCCGGTCACATTGCATATCTTTTTATTTTTCGCAGGAGAATTTAACAGGTAGGTAGGTTGAGGTCGTCTTGTAACAAGGAATCATATGTAAATTATGTGGTATATTTGTAGCGCACGTTTACCGCACGTTGCCTACGGGAGTCCTTCAATTAATGCTGGTGCAATTCAGGTATTGAGGTAAATATAGCTTAAGTAGAGCTCATCGGTACAGTATTTGCCTTATTAAGATCTCTTATGAAACGCTTGCATACTATGGCAAATATGTTGAAACATAATATCATTCAAACCGATGCATTCTTTCTCGATTGTGGTCAACTAGAGCGTGCATAAATTGACAATCCCCGCAACCAGTTGCTAAAATCTGCTGACATGACAATGCCGACGGCAAAGGCCTGCAAATCGGATTTCAATCAATGTTTTTCGAGCACAGGAATTGAGTGGTTCTATCTGATAAGCGATTGCGAATCGCGTGTTTTTGTATAAAAACATCATTTTGTTTGTACTCACAAGCACAGCATCTCGCACATGCCATAAACACGATTTTCAAATCACTCCAAGGATTATTGATACAGCAGGTTTCAAAGCCCATCGAATCAAATCGTGCGCACTCATTTTAAATGCAAATTCAGAAGCTGATACACAAATTAGTCAAAATGCTATATGCTTAAGCATCGACATGAACAGGTAGGTAGAGCTGCAATCACGAATTATTTTCCCGGGCTACGATTTCAATAACCCGACTTCACCTTGCGTCTGATGCACTTTGCCGCAGAAATGCGCAGAATTTGCAGGCCTATGTTGAGCTAAGAAACCTGCGCTTTCCACTCTCACTCGTTGGACAACGTCCCTGCAGGCGATCCACGCGTAATGCACGCAAGTTCTGGCCTAACATCATGACGCGCCAGCGAGCAGAATTTTTTTAAAATTAAAAAAATCAATTAAGGTCACATTTAAGCATAACCTTGCGTTAGCATTTGCATCCAGTCCGTCTTTGGGGAAATTGAATACGGTCCGAGTCACCGCAAAAATGTGCGAGAATGTCGATGAATTGACCGCAAAAAAGGTGCGCAAACGGGGATAAACAAACCGCAAAACCCAAAACAACGATGGGTGGTAACTAGTGTACATGTTCACTTTGAAAGGGGATTCTTTGCAAGGCTTTGGGAGAGAAACCTTTGTTTGAGTAAAGCTGTAAACAACCGTAAATATTATAAGTCCGTGCAAATACCGAGGCTGCTAGTGTCAAAATTTATAACTGCCTCTTAGACTGTCATGTGGTTTTCCTCAGGGGGGGGTGGGGGGGTGGTGAGGGGGAGGAGGGAAGGCGCGCGTGACATACAAGTACGAGCACCGCGCCAAAACATGAGAATTTAGGTAGAGTTCTTCGCCAAGTCGTGATGTGGTGATACATTCGCGCAGTACACACAGGATGCAGCGCGCACGCAGAGGAACCACGCCTCGACACGCAAGGAACGAGATGGTATGAAAATATCGCTGACAACGCATTAAACAACGCTAGATCAGATTACGCGCGTTGGTCTGTCAACACGACGTCAATAGACATGAAACAAACCCAACCGCAATCAACGCTTCTGCGTCAAATTTGAAATTTGCGCAAATTCTACGCACAGTTCAGCGCGTACCGTGCAACTGGCGTTGCGCACGAACAAGTATAATTTGCGCGTTGCAGAAATTGCGCGTGCATGACAGGGATTTTGACGTTTGGAAAACTGTCAACGACGATAATGACGTTTTAAGATGCGTTAATTGAAGAAAGCCAGGTACTTTCCGCAAAATGCAAGGGGACACCAATCCAGGGTTCCCCTGCTTTTAAATACAGAGTCACGAAAATTCGATCTTTGATTTAGGTTCGGGTAATGTGCTGTGGCCGGGCCGTTGTCACAAAAACCAATAGGGGGCTGACATTAGAATTCTAGAACTCGTTAATTGCAACTATTTCTAGCAGCAATCGGATTGGGTTGGTTCAACGTGTTTATATAATATATATCTGTAGCGGACGCAAGGGCATATTTTAGCCTATAGAATACCGCGAATGTCACACGCCTATATTAAGGTGTCACATCATGAGGACGCGAGCTGTGATTGGTCGATGCGACGCCGATGCTATCAAGTTGGCCAATCAGGATCGAAAATGCGTTCAGATTGTTTCCTTATGAACCCCTTGTGCGGAAGGAAGCGATAATCTCATCACATATCCAATTATATATCTGGTATGTAATTTTAGGTCTTGTACATGCGCTGCACACACACTCTCATATATATATACTGTCATATTAGCTGTAGGACATTGTGTTTTGGACGAGCGAGCTTGACAGTACACTATCATCGGACGACGAATCACTATGGACCCAAAGGCTTTTGCTAATGGAAACTTTGGAGCGGTCGAAGGCGAGCCTGGTATGAACACCGCTATATCAAAAGCCGTGAACAACGTTTTAGAAGGCTGCGACTGGAGTCTGTTGCCGCTACCACTCAGAGTTAATGGTAGCCACAAGACCAAACCGCATGTGAAACGACCTATGAACGCGTTCATGGTCTACGCACAGGTAATAATCATAATTTGCGTTGTGCAGAAACGTCTGTGCAGCTATTTTTCATAATCAGCGCGACACTTTTTCGCTTCAAATAGCAGTTCAATGTTATTGTATATTTTATGCCAAACCAAGTGTATGACAGCACGCTAAATTAATTCGTTCACCAAGCGCTTGCGATGTTTTCTGAAATGTATTTGTGTACCACGAGAGTTCTAAATAGCAACTTTAAACAAACGTCTAAGAGTTTTTAAAATCCGCTTCGCCAATATCTACGTATTAGTCAAATAAAACATTAAAACACAATAACAGTTTATTGGATAAAAGTTAGTGTATGATAAACGGACGTCAAATCTCTGGACTTAGACCATATGTTAAAACACTCATTCGTAAAATTGTCTAGAGTTCATAAAGCACAGCAAAGGGCATATAACTAGAGTAAATATGAACACGCTAAAATAGCTTAATTGGAATTCCAAAGTTAGTGTGGTGCTTTAACATAACCTAGGGTTAACTAGGGCCGAAGTTTAGCGGAATTGGGTGTAAATTTCTTCTCTTTTATTCAGGCAGCAAGAAGGAAACTCGCTGATCAGTTTCCGAACTTGCACAACGCGGAATTGAGCAAGACTCTCGGGAAACTTTGGAAGCTACTGGATGAACGGGAGAAGAAGCCTTTTATACAGGAAGCCGAGAGGTTGCGCTTGAAACACAAACGCGATCATCCCGATTACAAATATCAACCGCGCCGAAAACGGCAAAAAGGAGAAGCTAGCCCAGAACACACAGATTGCACAATCACCGCCAAAGATATCTTACGTGTTTTAAAATCTGACAACGGCGAGGAAGATGAGGACGAGGAAGCGAACAACATCGACAGACGTGCGAGTAATACGGATTCTGAGTTTTCAACGAGTTCGTCTCGGGCAAGCACACCTGAGAGACAAGTGAATTTGGATGAAATCGACACAAGCGACCCGACGCGACAGCCCGACTTGGCGATCGCGTTCAGCCCGACAATGGTTTGCGACTCCGGCGTGAAGAAAGAACCAGGCGATGCGCTGGACTTTGACGACGTAGGCGATCTTACAGGTGATTTGATCTCTTACTCTGATATCGAGGGAACTGACTTTGAACAGCTGTACTTGGCCAGTACAACGGGAAGCGTGTTTCATAATGCGCTATCGCCCACACCGACCACGTCAAGCAATAACGTTAGTTCTAGCGGCAAGCAAAGCGCATCAAGCAGTGTCTATCATCTTGGATCCTGTAGTCCTCCCGAGACACCGCCACCGCAGTTTTCAACGACAACTACGACCAGTCAAAGCATGCTGCCGTTTATAGCAGCGTCGACGCTTAACCTAAGCAGCGACGTGGAGCAATCCCAGCTACTCTATACGTGTACCCCCCAACCTAGCCCGTTGAACACGGCCGACCATGAACTAATTATGAAGTACCCAACCGCTCCTAAAATAAAAGTGACCTCAAAAATATCGCAATGGTCCAGTTACACATCGCTGTAAAAAAGATGGCACATAGCCAGCCGGTCCAGTTGCGCATCGCAGAAAGACACCCTAGAGACCGCCGCGCAAAGCATAGTTAGCATAAACGACGAATGTCGACGGCCTAGGACACGCATGCAATCGCAAACGAACAAATGTTTAACAATTTGATATATTTAAGACAACCCATAGACATTTCCGAGGACTTGAAGTAGCAAACAGGTCTCGATTTCACGTATGAAATTTAGAATTTTAAGAATTAAGGTTATGTAAATATAGCGATAGATATGTTTGTTTTTAGGTGGCTGCTCCTCGCTCCTGTATTTGTGTGCTATAAAATTATACATTTTTTACACGTTTTCGTTGTTTGTTTTACCGCAGTCTCTCGATGGGGAGCTTCGAAATAACCCCAAAAACAGTTCCACTTACTTAAGTATCTACTGTTTGTCTGCGATGTTTTATGTTAACAAAACAGGTTCAGCGTTTCGAAAACATTCTTAATTGACAGTGATAGCTCATTCTGATCAACTAGCAAGATAAGAATTGTAAAAAAAACTACATTCGACGCGGTCACTTTTAAATATGTTCTATCTGAATGCCATGATCTCTACGTTGCGATCTGTAATCGCGTCTTCGGGTTATCATATCCGCGATTTAATGAATTTTATGCACAAGCCTCATGAAAGCGTTAAGAAGTATTTAAAACAAGCCATTTATGGCGAATTTGCGCACGCCATTCACAGATGAAATCTGTGCGCAAACGGTTTTTATTGGCGAGAGATAAGAAAATAAGTCAGAATGTATCAGGAATCGGTGGAATAAGTCATGGGAACGACTCCTTGTCTAAGATCTTGCACACTGATTGCAAACAGGTTTATCGCGAGGAGAAAAGATTAGAAGCACAACTGGAACTCTATCGCGTCTAAGGAAATGCCTGCCATAAAGATGTCTATACATTTACAATGAACTTCGCTTAGACATAATTCCTGCAAAAGGATGCTGCTTCTATCTGCTGCCAAAGAAGAGAATCTAGATCCACTTTTAGAGTTTTCTATGCTTGATATGCCAATATTTGCCTCATATATCACGAGTTCGATTGACAGAAAAAAGCATGAATTTGTAATGAAATAAAATATCCTTTATTTAGCCTGCAGCGATTTTTCACGCTCGGTGTTTGAATGTAATTAACTTTTAATGCGTTCAGTCAGCCCGGCTGAGCGCAAGCTTGATTTTCTAGAACCATCCGTGTGGATGATATGAAGTCTACCCTCGAGAATGAGATGGGGCCACTATAGAGGAACTCAAAGGCGACTGTGTTAATGTTTCGCTATCCTATCGCGCACTCATTAACAGTAACATACGCAGAATTATTAAACACATAAGGCGGCGTCTGTGCGTGTGAAGATAGCATTGATGATATTAACCAATTCAATTACGGTTACATAAAGTACCAAAATCTCATCGTGAACTCGCGAATTTGTGTGTGCGCTATAGCTCTAACTCTGAAACGATTTCTCCCTATATATAGCTATAAATAGTCGATGGAAAATTTTGAAATTGATAAAAACGTTGACAGTCTTCTCATTCCACAAGTCCTTGTCTACAGGGAATGACCTCTCACCCCATTACAACGCTAATTATGATGTTTGTGCGGTTCACTTGTGTTGGTCTGAAAGAAAAATTTTGATTGTCAGGCAATAAAAATTTGCATTGTTTTACAACACGCTGTTTTTGTTTTGACGGGCCTTTTTCAGCGACAACTCGTAGGCCTCGCTCAATCTCAACCGCTGTTCAAATGCCATTGAACAATTATCGCAGGCAACTTGAGTGCTGGCCAAGAGGAGCTTCAGCAAACGTCGCCCCGTCGGACGCCTTGAAAACTTTCCAGAAGGCACGCCCGAATTTTAGCGTAATCTAAATCGGTTGAATGATTTTGGCACAAATCATAGCCTCCCTTCCACTTGGCAGACATATTGCTCTGACGTAACTTGAAACTTCTCATATAAGGCGGGGGGTGCAGTGGAAATTTGAACTGCATATAATTTTTTATCACACAAGGATAACCTAGTTTCGAACTGTTTAATTTCCTATGGTGTATTGAGCAAGCGATACGCATCGACCGTGATATTACTACGGTGGAAATACGGTATATTGTGAGGTCATTCCTTATGATGCGTGCGAAGTAATTTTCATACCTGCATGTCCGAGACGATATGATATAATTAGAAAAACTACTTTTCAAAAGCGGACATGCGTTGCAGTGATGCGGAACTATCTTTAGACACAATAAAAATAAATACGTCTTTTGTTGAATTAATAGTTTACGAGTTAGCTTATTTTAAAATAAAAATGAAAGAAAGCTTATATCTGCCTTTCCCTCAAGTAAAATCACATATAAATTAGATTTACTCGACTACAATGTGTTTATAAATGGATGGTCGTAATAAGAGGGAACTATAGATCTTTTTATGTGGTGCGTTGGCTTGTGCGAAGTTCAATATAGGATACTCCAACAGAATACTTTGTGTACAGAAGAAAGATAGTGATATCAGTAAAGATATACAAATTAGAGTGCGTGTCAATTTTTGAGGCGGTACATTGAATACTTTAATAAATAAAAAAATAATAGATTGGAGCTTAATTTTTTGAGGTCATGGATAATTCTTCATAAATTTCACTCAACGGACTTTTAGGTTTTAAAATAATCGCATTATTGTATCGAATTTCGGCTGTGTTTCATTGCAAAATATTGCAAATTTGTACTTTTTTACAGCGCTCATTCTTGACTTGCATTGAGCTGAATTTTTTAGTTGCACGAAGTTTCCGTCTTACAATCCTCCTGCGATTAATAATCGGAAGTGTTTTGCCTATTTTAGGCAGTTGTTATACCACATTTGACGCTAATAGTTAATAATCGGAATGTTTCATGAGAATATGTTTACGGTAACGACATTCGATAGTTTTGCAGTAAATATTGAAACGAAGTTGAATAAGTCGACCATCAGTTAAAACCATTGGACGTGTATCAAAGTATACCATTAAAACTTTAGAACTTATCGAAGTCAGGCAGTTGCGAGACGAGCCGATTACAGGAATATTTTCTTCTGGGGAACGTGCAAAAAAGCACGGTGCATAGCGCATCCCATGCATCAGGATTTTTTTAAACTGTAAATCTAATCTATCGGACCATATTTAGTATGCAAGTTCCGATTGCCCTTACCCCGTCATAAGTCGTTTTAATAATACAGCGCTACACCCAAAGTCTTATAACAAACCCGCTTAGGCACACCTTGGGATCTCGGTCAGTTTGGCAAACGCAGTGCAGGTAAACAGTTAAACTTTAGCGGCAAGAGGAAGGCGATTTTCCTATGGGGAAGTCACGCATGCACGAAGGCAATTCTGAATACAGGGACGAGGAAGGAGAAGTCTACGATAATCTTAAACCATTGTTGTAAAGAGAGCCAGTAAAGCGATATGAAGTGGCTGCCTACACATTTACGATAAGCTAAGACATGCAGTCAGATAAGTATAATTTCAAAGTCATTTTTTTAAAGTGTTCTACAATGCTCTAGCTAAATTAGGTAAGGGTTAGGGTTAAGCTCGCCGCAACGTGAGCTATTAGCTGAACTAAAGACCACGCTTGGCTGTTAGCTCAGCAAGTTACTCTCGTGTGCGGATAGTTTTTCGTGAGGAGTTCACCTCTAAAGGGATGTTTCTGACGTGTGCGGATGGTTTTCGGGCTGAGTTCGTTAGCTCGCGAGGTTGTTAGCTCAGCTAATAGCTCTCGTTCGCAGCGGGCTTTAGAATCTCAAGGATGATGAGGTAAGTAAGAAAAATGTATTTTCGTCTGGGTATTCACTCAAAAACAACCTTTTAGAATAACCCCTCACTAAAGGGATGCTCAAATTTGTCAACTTTTTTTGCAGAAGGTCTGATGTTTAAACGAAGGCGAGCAAGATCGACAGCTTGCAAGATTAACAGAAGTTTTCTATACGAAACGGATGGGTACAAACCTTAGTGGAGCCATAATCGTGGCAATAAAGAGATTGCAGATTATCGTAGCCTAAAACCTGTCAAAAATAGGGAGAAAATAAGTGTAAAAATATGGTTATTTAACAAGGGAATGCACGGAGAAGATGGCATACCCTGGGATGACCAAACCCCTAGAGTTTATATTAGGCTACTTTCTCACGTTCCTGACTGAGTGTTTTGGCAACACGAACAGATTTTAGCGTCGAAATCCAATTAATAAGTTGTTTGTTTTGACGAGGACCATAGTAGGGGGAGTCGGTATTATGATTTTAAAAAACAACCAACAGCGCTCAAAGGCTCATATGCTGGCTCTCCCTTGCTAATCAAAACGATGCCAATATGTAAATAATGCCGCTCTTTTAAACGAGCTTTTGTTTGCGGGCCGAATGAGGATGCTTTGTTTTGGATAATTTGTCTCGAATGGTTCCAGAACGGGCCGTGAAACAAAAGAACAATGTAGTCATGTAGATGATGAAAAAAACCCTGGATTTTCTATCGCAGTCGCTTCGTCGTATAAAAGGTGATAGTGTGGGCAATTTAATCCCTCTGTCTAAACAGAGACACTTGTCTGCTGTGAAATTTGAAAGTAGTTTAGTTGTTTGTACTGTACAGGGCGCGCGCAGTCACGGAAGTCCTTTGCACATCAATAAAACTGGCGAACTTGGGACTTTCACCATAAAAAACTGTAGTAAAATCAAGACTTATAAGGGACCAAAAGCTTGCTTGAAATCTATCAGATAAAGTTGTTTGTCTTACTCTTTGCCGTCATTGTTGAAGTTACCTTACTCAATCTAAAGTTCGCTGATAACTGAACTTAGAGACTTGCGAGGGGCAAGGTGGCTACCCTAAGTGAATCTCACTCGCGTGAAGATGGCTTTTGTGAATTTACTTTGCGTTTTTTGTACGCGAAAAGCTCGGTTTTAGGTTGAACTACTAGCCACAGACTTTAGACCGTTATGTGAGTCAACAGCTCTTGTGCGCGCACGGTCGCATTTCGACGTTCGGAATAGGTTACATACAGATCAGGCTCAAGCATGGCTGGAAATGCGTCAACAGCAGCAGAGGCGGCTGTAAAGAATTCACAAGCGCTGCGCGCACGCAATTAAATTGGGTCGCAGCCAAATGGGGATTCCTCGGAATGACGCACATCGCACGTTTTTCGAGATTTTCTCAAACGGCGCCGATCATTGGTTGAAATCGTGTACCACTTGTGGGAAACTACCGAGGGTAGCCGTTTGCACAAAGCCGCTCCACGCCAGGCAAAGCTTTTCCACGAGAAATCTTCGCGAAAGTTTGGAAAGACCCAATTTTGAATTTTTATTGCATAATGGGTAGTAATAATCAGAGTGTTAAGTAATGGTGGACCCGTGTATTCGGCCAAATCTACTACTTGAAAATTCACCATCTCTTACAACCATTCTTCAAGGAACAAATTTAGGTTTATAGTAGTAATGCTGTAATGCTACCTCCCCGCAGGCAAACTTCATTGTCTAAAGCCATTTCCCCAACAAAGCTGGACTTTCCCCTGGCAAACAACCCAGTTTATACTCAAGGTCGGGTCTAAAAAAAATGTTGACCAGTTCATTTCCTAACTTGAAGAAACACATCTGAAAATTCCTCAACAATTTGAAAAGTTTCTTAAAAAGTTCCTAGCTTCCTGTTTCATTGACCAATCAAATTTTATATTTTATTTTTGAGCAGTCTGATTGGTCAATGAAACAGAAAGTCAGGAACTTTTTAAGGAACTATTCAAATTGTCGAGGAGTTGTTCAAATGTGTTCCGTCAAGTTAGCAAATGAACTGGTCGACATTTTTTCGAACGATTCTATTGGCACGATTGTAATATTGCGCCCGACTTAAATATTTCTGCATTTTCTGAATGTAAATGGTCACATGCACAAAACCTTATATAAGACTGTAGGTTGTTAGTGTCGTGAACATGTCAAGGTGATTGATGTGATAGAATATTTCTACGTGTATGCAGTCAACGATGGACGATTTTGAATACAACAATAGAGACAAATTTACTTTCGGACTATTTCTCATCGGTCAAAAGGACTTGTTCACGACAGTACGACTATTATTATTATTATAGTTAACCAGGATACCTACATCACCTTATAGTGTTTTTCAGTGGGGTCCTGCAATGACTAAACGACTAAACGAAAAGCAGGCTTAATATTATGAAACCAAGCATCATCGTGTTTATCACCAACTAAACTAATACATTTCAGCGATGAATTCAAAATACTCCCCAGATATGCATTTATTTGCTAAATAACTAACCTTTTTTTCTGAAAAAAATTTGCGTGCTTTTGTGCGCATTTTAAGCGGTTTCCGACAAGAAGCATGCATGCGCTTGTACCGGAATTTATAAGTACTTTGCTATTGAAATTACCTCGCGGTGCATAAAAAACAAAAACTCTTCAATTCAAATTAACCAAAACCTATTTTAAAGACTGACAGCTTCATTCACTGCGGTTTATTTTACATTAGTAAAGTACAAAGAAAAGGTTGAGTATATAATTCAAAATTTAAAAGTGTCTCGACTATTTTTACAACCCGTAAACAGGTCGTCTCCTGAAAAGGTAATAGCTCTTCAAATTTACCTTTTATCGTGATGAGTTGGCTATCAAGCACCTGAGTGTGCCCACACAAATTTTAAGTGAATTTCTACTTTTTAGTTCCCAATTTTTTTGGGGGGGATATTCTGTGTCCGGATATAATTAACCTCATTGACTTTGAAGAAACAGTTTGACAGATTCGAATCAATCCAAATGGTACAGAAAGGTACCCGAAACATCATTTCGCGTAGTGTTCCAGCTAATGGGCAAATATTACATCAATCATCTAGCAGACTTTCCGGTATGTCAGACGATTACTCCAATACTCCTGGCTCAATTCACAGACAACAAAAATCCTGATAACCCGAAAACTCGCTGTTACCTTAATGATGAATGGAACCTAAACATTCACTAGGGAGCTTTAGCAGTGAATACGAGAAACGTAAAATGAGAAACGAAAAAACCTAAATGAATTTAGAAGCAGGCAAACCAATCCTGAGTGACAAGAAAATCTATCACTGCAGTATCACATCCATTTTAATTGCACCATAAATCTTTTCTGGTCTGACGTTCGTTGAACTTTAAGGTGAAATAAAACGTATTGAAAGCCTATTGAAAGCCTAAAGCATTTGTCTTTATATGAATAGTACGTTTCACTCTCTGCCAACACATATCCCGCCCACAACCTTTCTAAAAAAGTTTGCAAAATTCAGAATCAACCATAATAAGATCAGGGCTTTTTCAATTAGTAAATAATATCAAATTTTAATTATCACGCCACTTTCTATCAGATTTAGCTCACAAATGCTCGCAAAATTAATAGTCTAGTTTGAGGACTGTCATAATAAGCTTACGAGGCATTTTTTAAGTCGTTAATTTCCATCTGAAAAGTGGATTCTGTAGAGAATTTGAAGGCTACTTTTTCAGCGTATATTGTACACAAGATGCCACAAATCTTACATAAAAGAAGTTATCCATTTTGGACCGACTTTCGCAAGATGAAAAATCTACCTGGAAAGCAATTTTACAAGTGTTTCGTGATGCTAAAACATTAGCATAAGCGGATTACGATACGATATCAAACTCTTTTATACCCTTGAGGAACGTGGTGATATCTCCGATTGAAGGTATTTTCAACGAAATTTAAGCGCACGACGAGCTATTTTTGACCAGCGATAGAAAAAGAGCAAATTTGCATGAAACTTCAATGACATATTCAATGAGTTAGATTGCGCCATCACCCAGCCATCGTGTCTCCAAATCGTGGATAGTTTTAACTGAATTTAGCCTGGTTATCTTGCTAGGACTCACTAGTGTCTAGGTGATAAATATCTCATGATATCAGGGATTATTCACGGATTACAAACACAAGTTTAGACTGTATGCAGTGAAGGGAAATGACTCATTATTGACGACGTGCCGTTGACAAGAAGACAAGTTCACGAAACGACTAAAAAAGATCAATTTTCCACCAGAGTTTTGCGATATCACAAACCTCAGCTACGTCCTGCTGGGTGGATTAAGATGCTTGGTAACCACTAACCAGCGTGCCATAACTGAGGATATAAGCACATGAATGTCTTTCATCGTGTACAAAACTTTAAAGCAATGACAGATTTAACATGGGATTAAATGGCAACCAGCAATCGGCTTGCATACACCCGAGAGATGAGAAGAATGAACTGGCTTAATAGCAACGACATTGGAGCTGGTGCAAGCGCGCAAAACGCCGCTTTAAAGATCGCTCGTTATATTTCGCTGAAGACAATTTTGGGGCAAGAAAACAAAAAGATGGTTTGAATTTCTGGAAGATGCATCAGATTATGGTAGGCTTAAAGCAATTTCTATTCTTTTACAAGGTAGCTTAACTCGATTTGCGATTCGAGCACTTCTGCAGACGTGTCAACGCCCTTTTCCCCAGCGCTTTACTCCAGAGAATGTTTGGCAGAATGACAACACTAAAATATTCCGGGTTCGAAATATTTGCGGCCCGAGGTACGATCATTGAAAGGTACCCACATTCACCGCACCCTATACAAAAACTCTACACGCAGAACGGGCATGAAATGCGCAAACCGTTCGCTTCGAGATACATTTAAATAAAATGCGCTATATCGTTACATTTCGTGAGAAAACTCGTATTGGATGGGACACAAAAATGCCATATATTTGTACACAGAATTAAAAATCAATCAATAAGATTGACATAAACGATTAAACACAAACACATGACATGATTTCGCTGAGGGCGATAAAATTTAGGCATCACGAACTGGGTTCAAGGCTTTAAAAGAGGTGTATATAATGTAATATAATACATAGAATATCTCTAAACAGTAATATTTTATTCGGTCTGCATTTCTACAAGAAGAGGAACTCTGCCCGAAATTGTGTAAACAAATTTCATTGAATCAGATTTTGATAGCCTTGATTCACCCCAAACACTGGTTGTGAAAACAAGATTCTGCATGTGGAACCATTTTAGCATACGTTTAGTAATGCAACGTTTGTTGGTCCGAATCCATGTTTAATTGCTACCGCCAAAGCATCCCCAGGCAGGCCAAATTAAATAAGATTTCATCTTATCAAAGCCAACATTTGACAGCTCAACAAGCTGTTTCAGATAGACAATTCATTATCATTTAATTATACAATAGAGACCCGACTTTTTGTTTATAATATATTTAGGAATAGCACGCTTCAGCAAAGATAGATAAGGATGACAGGGGAAGCTTAATTCTTTAAGTCCGATTTTCTTTGATCCAAAAATGGTTAAGCCCTGTCGACTCCTCTCCGCAAGAAGCTTATGCGATCTTTTTATTTTCTCGGTATTTGAATCGATTCAATTTTTTTCGTGCATGATAAAGGGGCGTAGGGCATGTAAGCGGGCAAGCAGGAAACAGCCCTTGGGGCGGAGAAGAAATAATAGAATTACAGAAACACAATAAAACTGAGGCATTGAATCTTAGATTCAGGTTTAGACCTACAACAGACCACCAGCACCATATGATCATAACCAACACTTGATCCACCCTAATCGCATTGTTCTAATACACGTGCAATAATATTTAACCAAAGTTTTTAAGACAACAAACAGCTATATATTCCTAACCTTGGGCAAACTTCAAATCAAATTCTGAATACAGTTTGGTGAATGGTTTTAATCTGCGTAAGACAATCAATTATTTTGCCTTGAGACAGCAGCGGGCATATTTTTATCACAGACCCCCCAATACGTTTAACCGCAATTCCTATCATACTGCTAAATCTTCGCTGTTAGTCCTGGTAAAGACGTTGAGATACTATAGCATACTTCGCTAATCAAAATAGAGAGAAACCGCATTAAGTCACGAAAATGAAAACGTTTGGGAAAGGATGTAATGCTTTGATAGAGAGGCATGCGCATTTTCCCCTACAAAGTGGCTACTTGTGTTGATCATTTTCAGAACTTAAGAATGAAAAAAATAATTTTCAGGAATGCCATTTATTTCAAAATTCCAAAAAAATGACGTTCTCGTGTATACTATTATCAGAGCACTCAAATCTATTCCTTAATCCAACGAAACATTAAAACAAATTTCATTCAGCACATGATGTTAATACCGTGAGCAGTAGTGCATGTGTGTTCCTATCAGTATAGGGTCGATTTACGAAAGGCAAAGTCTGTATAAGTGGATAGTAATTTGGAAACGTATAATATACATTGTTGTACGTACGTTTGAGGGTGAGGGTGAGGACCCTGGCTTTGTTGCAGAGAAACGCGTGTTGTAAACAGGGGCGTAACTAGAACGATAATTGGGGAGGGGGAGGGTGTGTATATTCATATATTAAGTTCTGCCCGACGGATTTCTATTGTAAGCTATTGCATTTACAGAAAGAAACACATCTGGCAGAACTAGCAAAAATATATGAATATTCACCCCCCCCCCCAATTATCGTTCTAGTTTCGCCACTGTCTGTAAACATGATAATACAGCAATCATGCTACTAGGGGAGAGGGGGGGGGTGGGAGGTATCGTACCCAGGAATCTCCAATGGTCCACAGATAAACCGAATATGATGTTTGCAAAAAAGTTGGTAATGGTGATTCAGGTCAAGTAATTAAAGAACTCACGTCATCAACACGTGGTGGAATTTTCCGAGTTTCCACGCGATCCCTTGGTTCAAAGTCCAGCTCGCGTGTGATCGCATGATCCATGGCTGGTAACATTTAAAACCACGTGTTCCCTAATCCGGGGTCGTAAAAAATGAATCATGACGTCAAAATGTTAACGAGCCATCACTCGTAATGCCATAGCCCTAATCATTTTGTCTGAACAGTCATTCAACAGGGAATCCTATATCCTTGCTGCTGAAGACTAGGGTAATTAATCTTGATCACTTCTTTGGAAAGATGGAAGGCTAAAATGTTAACACGGCTATCAAATAACTCTGGATTGTGAGCAGAGTTTTTGCGCAATCGTTTGTAACCTACAGGGCGAGGTGAAGTTAGCTACCTGCGGTACAACTTTAGTCAACTACTTGCACATCGCTGCATTTTCGCGTTGCTATACAGAAAATCTTGTAAATAAATAAATGGATTAAGGTGGATAATCCAAAGAGGGGATTAACTTTTTTTTCTTTAAATACGATTCAGTGTATAAACCTTAGCTGGAGACGTAATTTGGGGTCAGGACGCGACCTAAACATGTGCCGAAAATTTCGATTCTAAATCTCCAGTCATGAAATGTGGGAGGACAGGTGCATGGAGAGTAGCATTTTGATTACATCCAGAGATTCACAACACTTGACCTGTGCAGAGACAGAAACGGTCGAGAGAGGACAGGGAAGACGCAGACAAATGATTTAATGAACTGTTAAAGGATGTTAACTGCATCCTCGCATAGGTTCAGAGGTCTACGACGTAGGCTGAAGCATTTTGACACGTCAAACAAATGATGGTGTAAATTTTCCTTGCGGATTTAAGACCTGAGACCTCCACATACAAGCGGAATGTTTGCATTCTAAATCATGTACGCGAATCTGGGAAATGTTGCGAAAATGCAACAGGTTGACGTGCAAAAGCCGTCCACAATTTAAGCTTCTAGCAAATTACATTTCTGCGATCGCCATAAATGCCCAGCCTAGATGAAAGCTAAATTTCAATGTCGCTTAACTTAAATGCAGCGACGTTGTGATGAAAAAACCTCAATCTACATCGATAAAAATTGCACAGAAGAGCGCATTACTGATCCAACTAACCCGTGCTTATAGGCAGCTTAGCCATTACATCATGCTTAATTTCATTTCGCTTATTTTTAAATCTCACAATCTTATTTCACCTACAGGCGTTAAAACGCTATTTCGATCAAACGATCCACTTAAGAAAATTATGGTACTTGCAGCTTACTTTTTAGCTGATAAATACAACAATGCTATACTGCACGCGCTGAACTAGCCCTCGGGTGGTTTCAGGGGTGAAAGGGTATATATTGTCTAAGGGTGTACCGTGTTTATATCTACTCTGAAAGAATGATGAGTAATCTAAAACCATATAAATATAATCCTTCAGTGCATATACAACTTAGTCATTAGACAATTTTATCGAAAGGGAACAACGTCACGTGTATGGCACGAAACTAGCTGGTAATAAAATTTCCATCCACCATCATCTGTCGTTCACAACCATCGTATTTTTGTATTTATGTCAAAGCCTATAACTTTCCTCATGAGTTACTGTATCATTGTCAGCAAATCTCTGTCATCAAGATCTCATAATGTTTAGTGCACGCACGCATGCACAGTGAAATACAATCGATACTAATATGGTAAACCAAATATGCTGACCAAGAGGATTTAAAGCACTCTTAATAAAACCTGATGCTTTATCAAAACATCGCCAATCCAATTATATTCACTCGTCAACGGCAGCATTTAGGTTTAAGCGTTATTGCAACCGTGTTGCAATCGTTAAGAAAAGTGGGATGACGCGAGGGCATGATTTACTGTGTTTCGCGAGGTCACTTTTCAGATCAAATTTACTGTCTGCTGGCTGATCTGCACTCGAATGATATGTATTTTATTAGCAACCAATTAGCAACCTATATTTTAGGCGTCAAAAGTGAAGCACATGAGTGTAGATAGGACAGAAATAGACAAAGTTGAGAGACCATGAGAGTGTTTATTGTCCATTATCAAATCGAGTTTTAGACGACACAAACATGGGTGAATCCTTAAATGCAAGGCTACCATAATTGAGATCAAGCAATTTTAGTAGGATGATATAATAGGTGTTCTAAGCTGTTGTGTGTGTATGCAGCGCTAATATTTTCAAATACATTTCCAAAATAGAAATAGTCATTTCAATATTCCTATACCCGGCCAGATTTCTTCCAGCTGTCAAAAATATTGCTTAATTGCAAGGGCAGAAATCGTATAATGAGGAAGAACAATGATATGGTGACTTCAGATAATGGCAACAAAACATGTCTCAAGCCTGCATACGTGAATCACGCAAGCGCGAACAATGCAGTGAATTTTACTTTGCTGTTTTGCCCAATATTCTAGATTACTCAGTGGTAACCATTGAATTGTAAACAAACTGGAATGACAACTCAGGGGGGAAATTGAAGCCAGTGCTTTTTACTTTTTCTGAGTTATGAGCTGAAATACTTAACGCCAAATGTTGAGCCGTATATGAAATTAAAGCTATTAAAAAGTTATATTTCGTAACATTTCGAGATTTTAGCTCAAAGGGAAATATCTCAAATATATCTAAAAATTTCCCTGTTTTTTGCCGGTTGGTAATTGTTTTTGTTTTTTCTATATATTTCCTGTCTTGAAATTTCCACATAAAAGATCACTTTTCAATAGCTTTAATTTGACACACAGCTCAACGTTAGGCATCAAGTATTTCAGCTCATAACTCAGAAAAACTATTTTGGCTTCAAGCTAATATAGGGATGTTTTCAGGAGTTAGCGTTCCAGTTTACACACAGTTCAAATGGTGGTAACTCCAACTTCTGCGTGACAGCAACGCGCGCGACCAACGCGCGCGATCAACGCAGAACGCGCGTAGCACACGCGTGCTAGCCACGCAGCATCGAGCTTCCTGCACAAAATGACGCGTCATCCGGCGAACAATTTGTCTCGTCTTTTTTTTCTTAGTGTCTAAATTTAGACTGGTATCGACTTACCTCATTCTGCCCCAATTTTCCATCATTCATAAGCAGGAGTAATAAATCCAACCCAGATCCTCATTTATATCCTCGCAATATCCACAATGTACCATACTCCACAGTAAAAATACCATTGATATACTAAAGATCCTCATGTATCCATAAAGTACACCCAGAAATAATAAAATCCACACAGTTAATAACAAAACCTGAAAATAAAAAAGAAGGATCACTTGAAAATCAGAAAAGACGATCGCAATCAGAAAGTCAGGGGGGTACGGAAAGGCAAATTCGAGGGGGGGAGAGAACAATATGATATGATATCTTGAAATCCATTCATAAGTAAAATCCGCGCTAATAAATACGCAATATAATAAAGTATCTTATAGGGACACTCTTTAAACAAGACTATGAAATTGGTATATACTGTAGATTTATATTTGTTTCTAATCTAGTGAGACGTTTATTTTACAATATGTTCGCTAACTGCTTGATGAAACGGTGTGAATTCTCACGCGAGCTGTTTAGAGTTGTGAAACAATTGAACAATGTCTTCTTGCTAGAGGCTTGTAACAAATTTGGAGCCAGATTGGCCAAGACTCATCTCAGTTAATTCAAACCAACTGTGGTTCAATATTTTAGGCATTTGCTCAAAGGTGGTTGTACATAAAAATAACATAACTGAAAGCCTGGATTCCGGACTGTGGGGAATAAATGCAGCATCAAAATAGGCCAACCCTTCACTCTCCTTAATTCCGGAGATTTCACCCTCACATGTATAAATTTGTTAAGATATGACCATTTCTAAACTTTGAAAGGTCAGTAATCATAAAAAATCCCGGCTAGGATTCATTGCCCCAAAAGACTGAGAGACTGTGTCAACATTGTATTTGAACATTCTCGTTTTTAAAAAGAGTAGAAATGTTTTAGTGTTTTATTAGTGCCTAAACTAAAGTAAATGTGAATTGCCTGTATGATAGGCAATCTGTAACTCAAGCAGAACGATTTTAACCAGGCTGACTGATTAATGGTCTGTAACCATAGCATAATGCACAATCTGTCTATGTTTAGAGTTGGCTTCCTTGTAGCAAGATGGTTTTTATTGCTGTTTAAAACAATTATTATATTGCATAGAAATAATTCGGTGACTTCTTCAGTCAGAAAACCCTCATTCACATATAGAATGAACGTTTGTGGGTCTCTCTGTCTAGCTGTCTCTCCAATAATCACTGGTTTCACTGCTATGCCTTCTCACAGGGAAAAATAGCTTTAAAAATATTCACAAATACATGTCTGCACTTTGAGGTGCAAAAATTTAAACTGCATGCCTTACTTTACAGGGAAGAGATATTTTAAATAAAAACATAGCATAAAAATCGTGTATATATTCATGGGTGAGTTGTATTTCCATGCTAACTAGACAAATACCTTAGATCTCACTAGAATACCTTACTAGAGTTGGCCTTCCTTTTCCCACAAATCTGTTTATGTGGATGTTGTAGTCGTTGTAGTTTTAATACCGCATAAGACATGCGCGTGATCATTTGCGCAGATTAATGCAACGTTGTGAAAGCCAGAGCTGACTTTTTTGTTGAGTTAAGATTAGATTTTGTCTTGCCAACTGACGAAATACATTCGCGATTGCTTTTAGTAAACTTGTCAACGCGCCATTCCAATGCTGTCATCTTGTCAAGACGCTTTGGATGGTTGCCACGATTTCAAATCCTGAGCTCTAATGGTTTGCAGAACGACATTTGCAACACAAACTCATAGGAAAAAAAATTCTTATACAAAAAACTGCACCATCTATTCAACAGATGCAATGTAATTCAGTTAAAAAAAACAACAACGTTTGAGTTGGACAATGAGGTTATTGAGCAATAAAACATTAATAGAATAAAATGAATAGGTTCAGGGCCAGACTTGCATGAGGCTGAGCGTTTGGAATACGTAAAAAGCATATTATTACTCAGGTAGTTTAGGTGCATACTTGAGGTTTTAAAACTGTTAAAAGTGTTTTAATTGAAAATACCTTGTTTCGATTCTTTTATGATGGAAAACCACTAAAATAATACGTCCAAACATGGTCAATTTGAAAGAAAACAAACATATCTCTTTTTATTGTTTCAAACGACTTCCTTGAGTACATTCAAATGAATTCAAATAGGGGTCGAAAATGCGTCGTATAAATTGGTTTGAAATTGAAAGAAAACTAAGTCTGAAGTGAAGTGTCTTATGCTGCAAATCCCAAGGGAGGAGACTCAGAGTGGCATAAAATATAAACCATCTGTAAATTTTGAGAAACATCAGATACAATTGCATCAATGCAAAAAAAATTAAAGGAAAAAAACACTAATGGTATCCTGCTTCTCAAGAAACTACAAATAACATAGAAGGGAATAAAAGAATAACACACATGCAATTACGTCCGAAATCGTATGCATTGCACTAAGGATGTTCTCAATTTATTTGGCGCCGCTGAAAAGGCTGTTGCCGCCTTACGGCTTGAGCACACCAGAGAACAGAATGAAAGAATATTGTTGTCAACTAAGAAGAGCTATTTTTTAAGTTTCTCTGAAACCTTGAAATATTCGTAAAAAATAGAGAATACAAGATTAAAAACACGTGCCGACTTACCAATTGGCATATAGCCCGAGCCGCGATGCAAACCTTTCAGTATTTCAAGCACTGCTTAATTGGCCATTGTTAACAACAACTAACCGCAAAACCATAAAAATGTAAATCGCCTTGGACACCCAAATCGAGATGCAAATATATCCCAGCTTTATAACCATCCACTAGAAATCTTTACAACGAATCCGAGTTTGAAATACAACGCTGTGTATATCCGCACATTGGCTACGCGTTTGAAAGCTCTTGCGCAGCATACAAAGCACTACAAAGCCACGACACCGTAGTTTCACTCGCGGAGATTGTCAAGTCCAAAACTAGTCGTACAAAATACCGATTTTCCAATCCATTTATTCGTATATAAACACGATAAGCGGATAGGAAAGTGTTCGAAGCAGTATGAAACCCAATGTGTAACATATACTTTGTTTACTAAAAGTGTGAATGGGACAAAGGACAAAGACTCTACTCTTTAAGGTCCAGTTATCAGCTCAATAATGACAGCATGGCTCATTGCGTATGCAGCGTTAGTTACGGCGCGAATATACGACGGCGCAAGCTCGCGAACGGCGATGCAACGTCTGATTTGCATATTCTGCGCCGTCTTGCGGCATCGGGAAAAATTTCTGGCGAAAAATACGAGGCAAAAAGTGCATATTGTTTGAGATGTTTCGCCATGGGTATCGGCGCGTTCGCGCGAATCATGTTACATAAATGTCAATACATTAACCTGACGAGCGGGAACAATCGCACTAAAGATTAAACCCGCGAAAGTAAATTGGACTTAAAATGACGAACTTGCGCGTCGGCTGCGTGATCCTTCTAACCGCATTTGCGCAAATTTTACACAAGGATCGGGTGAAAGTGTTCGGCATTGCGCGCACTAAGGAACAGCTGATAATCAGCTTCGCACGGCGAATACAAGAGAGTCTTGTCCTTGGAATATCCCTTAAGTTATATCGATTAAACTTTGACGTCAAAGGTCTACCTAAGCAAAGTGATTTATAACAATAGAATAGTGCTTGTACTCAATATGCAAAATTTCTTCAGACCGGGTGCCTTATATGACCGGGTATGAAGTATACCGAATCTTTAAGAATCTTTACTGGATGGAAACGGTTGGATTTCTGCGTTTAATATCGAGCTGCAAGTGTCCGGGCTATATTTATCTGACTTTCGATCGGGTTTGTCGCAAGGTTAGATGGCCATCTCTCGCTATTGGTGGAACAAACGATGAATGTTGTGATTCAGAAATGTACCTGAATAACTGTATAGGAGGAATACCGGCAAAAGATAACTGCTTTTGTAGGCAGGCTTGTACGTGGAGCTGAGCACGGTTTATTATGAAAACGCAAATCATCAATCCATATGTTGCAGCCGGTGTGCGAGAGAACGCTCACAAACTAAAGAGATCAACAAGGAAGTTTACCTCACATCAGACTTTGAATTTGTGTTTGAAAAGAACTGGCAGACAATTTATTGCAAAACACATGCAAGCCATTATCTATGGCCCTCTGTGTGAATTTGTCACAGTTGAAGTCTGCCGGCCACGATCGTCTTCACAATGCATCACTCAGGATGGTTTATTTACAAACTCGCCCGCGTTGTCAGGGCAGCTATCTCTGGTCAGAACTGATCTTTGCATTTTCAACAGACTCAGAGAGACGTTTGGTACAACAGGAGCGCCAGAATTCGCGTTTTACAGCGAAGAAAAACCCTCGAAATCTTCCAACGACATCTCATTCAATTCCTTCGTTCCATATTTTCTTAATGATCTCAAACGAACCAGTTCACAATGCACACGAGCTACGAGTATCTCAAACAAGCCAGTTCGTCCATTGTTGTAAAATTTGCATCTATAATTGTCATTGTTCTGTTAACTTACATATTGACTATTTTTTTCGTTTAAATCTCTGATAGCTGGCTGAAAACTCTACGTAATCTTAAGTCTGGTGCATTACTATGTTTCCTTCAGTTGATAGAAGTCGATATCTGGCGCATTTTGACAACACAGCATTCAAAAAACACACGCTTACAACGCGTAGCGTAGCCATCCTGATGATTTACCTCCGTTATGCTAATATTTTTGTGATCATTGACTATAAAAACAATCAATTTCTTAAGAAATTAATAGTCATAGTACCTTCAAATTCGCTTAGCGGGATTAACTCAGCAAGATGGCAATGCCAATGACTTTAGAAATGCTTCCTCATCAAAGGATTGAAGCTCTGAATGCGACGTGTCACACAGGAAAAGCCATACAAAGTAGATGTATATTCCCCAGTTTTCTGACATTACCCCTGACAGGAATACCATTACAATCAACCCTCAACACACGGTTAAGACTAAGACAAAGCGCCAAATCTTGTTTAGAAAAGTTCTGTAATTTTTGCAAGTAGTGCACGCTAAATAACAGAGCTGACGAAAGATTGTTTGTTTCTTCAAACAAAGCAAAGAATTCGGATAACATTTGGAGAATTATATGAAAAGCGTGAGCTTAGATTCTTCAGCTGTCTAATAGCAGCCTTCAAAGAACATCAGTTGAATACTGTCCGGACTGACTTATCTATCAACTAGCTTTTATACATATAAATAGCTTGTAAAATAAATTCATTCAGAGCGATGTCTAGCTGTATTAGTGTACCCCCAAAACTTATGAATTAAAAAACAAGTTTTAAGGACTAGATTAATTCTTTTGATGGATTCAACTGTCAGATTTCCGTGCAATTTCCTGCAAGGTATTGTATTGTGTATGATGCCCTTCGTTGCTGCCGGATTTTCGTCACCGCGCAAAGCTCATGCAAGTCCCAGAGTTTATTTGCTCAGAAATGATATGTTAAATATACTTCTGGGCTGAAAGTTCTTGCAAATGGTCAAGTGCATAAACTATGCATATATTTCCCCAACCTGAATACAATGTCTTCAAATCTACCTCTTTACATGTACAATTTTCGCCGTCGCAACTTACTCTTCCAAGAATTTACAAATCATTTCGTCAAAACTGTAGCTACCTGGCATCTGCTACCATCACAATGCCCATATCCCTTGAGATTTTCCTCTACAAGCATCACAAAACCCGCAGAATATCGTATTAAATACGAACTTTCGATGTGTAAATCTAAAATATGTTCGTTACGGACTTCTAAATCACGAAATTCATTTCGTCTGTAACAGTTTTCAACGAAGAAACGTTTCACAATCATGGAAAAAAATTTTCAAGTAGTCTTTATACATGAATTTTTTGCAGAATATTCTTTTAAACTAATATAAACAAAATAAGATAAATGTTTTATTTTCTCAGTAGTCAAAAGGGAGGCGAAATGTTTGAAAACTTTGCACGTATCAAATCTGGGCACGTAGCACCTCATTCGTTTCTACCAGCGTGCATAATGCAACGTCCATGCGATTGTATCTCGGAAACAAAAATCACTTTAAAGCATTCATTGCCTCGAGGAATACTTTGAAAGTTATCTTCTCATTGAAAAATGAGATTTTCCAATAACTCTGGCCCGACAGTGTTTACCGGACTTAGCCTATAGCGAAATCCCGACGGGATGGGAAGCGAACGGACGAACAAAGACTGCATTATCATATAATGCGTCTTCCTATAACGCGCGCATTACCGCTCGGCACTCGGACATTTTCACTTCAAATTCAGGTTATGAAATGCATATTGGTAGCTGCATACATGCACAGCTTTGCTAGAATTGAGCGTTTGTGTTCGAGACGTGAGAATCTTCGAGCTTTTCTACAAACAGCCCCCGACGAAGCATTCCAACGTCATCGCATATTGCAAATTACACCGCAAACCGATACAAGCTCTCCATATGTACGCTGCACAATTCAGCTGATTTTACAAAACGTAGATATCTGTATTTCACAGAAGCGTTTTATACTTTGCAATTAACGCGCGCACACAAAAAAAAACATTGGAAAATCGCGCAGGAAACGCCAAACGCGGGCTGAGCGCGCGTTGTTTTGAAGGGCACCGAAATAGCGGAAAGAGATTTGATCAAATTGTTCTTGAACTTTTCCGGTTACAATTAACAGTCAAATTAATGCACTGTGCATTAAAGAATAAAGACATCACACATAACTACAGTTTCTCACAACTTACAAATCTCTGCAGGTGAACAATTAATCTTAGGCTGTCTGGAACACTCGAAGTGGGAAGACAATACAGCTCCACCAAGGCTAAATGCCGCTGTCTAAAATGTGTCTCTGAATGACCTATTTATACGTCTCGCAATACACAACGCAATGCAAAGTCTAAAGATTGCGTTTAAAACGCTGTTAACTAGCATCTATGGTGTTTTCAAATTCGGACCACAAATTCTCGCCAAGTCATGTTTGCACGAATACTGTGAAACACTAAACTGTGTAGTGCAATTCCTACTTATTATTTCATTCGGTATGTCCAGCCAAGGCATTGTGCATCTACAGTATATTCGTGCATGTACTCGAACAGAATGAAACTTTCTAATTTGTCTGAATTTCGGCTCAATATGAGACCACACAACTGTCAAAATTCGCTAGCTCTCTCTCGTACCAGGTTCTTTCAAGATTGCGTAGTCTGAAAACGTGACCTTGCAACAATAAAGCATTCAGTTTTTCTAGTTAACAAGGCATTTGTTCGTGTTGAAACAGCGAAAACCTCTTTCACATTACCTTTGCCGAAGCTGAAGAGGAGCGTGCTTGCCCTTGCGACGTTTTCCAAACCGATTTCATTGTCGAAAATCATCTTGTATTGTTTTGCAGGCTAAAATGAACTTCCTCTACAGTCAAGTGGGGCGAACCGTCGTCACAATACAACTGTTGCGAATTGTCTCAACGCATATCAGCATTCCATGGTGTACATTAGATTGAATTGCCAGCCATCCGTCGGCCAATCACAGCGCGAGTTTCGACAAGAAATGCACGCTCATTGGTCGAATCGCCACGACGAAGTTTCGGCGGGAAAACAGTACGAAATCGTCTGAAATTTCGTGCACAAGACGACAAGCAAGTTATGCAAAGAAAGCTACAACTATAGGATTCAACACTCGCTAGTTTTTCGAGCCAAGCAAAAGTAAAAGAATTTCATCGGGAATTTTCTTCCGTTCCTGGTCAAAAGTTCAAAAGTCCGTTGAAGCAACCATTAGATAAAAAGACCGACAATACGAGATGCTCTCTATCCATCATAATCACCTTGGATCTTAGTGTATCCATAGGCATCCCTACATGCCTAAATAGGAGGGTGTAGATTTATACTGGCATACTATAAAAATACTCTTAAACGAAATGAGTCGTAACTCAAAGGTATATACGAGTATACAGACATGGACTTGTGTTGAAGGATCGCTGTCATAAAGGTTATTTTTCTAAAATAAACAATCCTAGTTCCTTGTTCGCACTTGCTATTATCTTGCATGCTTGTCAACACCTTACAATAACCTGACCATCCAAATGGGCCGTTCTTGACCGATTTATAATTCAAATACGGATTTGCGGCCGGCATACATTGCACATCAAAACCATAAACCATCCATCAGAAGTGAACAGGCCTTTGCAGTCTCTGAACTGCATCGTTTTAACTTTGTTTAAACTGAACACTCGGGTACTAAATTCTGGGCTCAAAATTTGGAATCTTTGGACGCTAGACTAATCAAAATTTATAATTTTTAAGGCAATCTACAAGAAAATTTTGATAAGTTAAAATTTATTTGCTTTTGAAAAATATAAAACGTTGAAAATTCGCGCCGCGTTGCCAATTCGCGTCCTGTCTGTGTGGGCCTTTAGTGGTCTTCGCGACACGCAAGTCTGCAAGCCAAACTACCAAGAATAACTGTTGAAAGATCTTCACTGCAGTTTTACTCAAATTTAGTTGTAGAGGTCCTTTTCCCAATCCCACCTGTTATTACTAAAGTCTACGCGCATCTACACAGCTTGCAACTAAATTGAATACGCCTGCCAGTTTTTTTTTGCGACAACTGAGTGAAAAAAAGCCATCGCTTGTAACCGTGACACTAACAACTTGCGTTCCTTTTGCGTGCGCTATTCGCATTGCATTCAGTGATTGCCAAATTGAAAGACACATTCAGTGAACTCACATCTACGGTGAGTTATTTCGAGGTAATCTTAACTCAAATAACGGTTGAGCAGTCAAATATTTCGATATTCACATCTTTTATCTTTTAATCTCAGCTTAAAATGCTGATTTTCACTTTACAGTGAAATATTCGACATATTTGAGAAAAGACAGTCAAGCTACGCAATGCAGTCAAAATAGAAAACAAAACATGCAAATATTTTACTGGCAAACTATGTCTATGCAAATCTACCCTGAAAATATCATGCTATGGTTTTAGTTCAGTACGATCGGGCAAAAAACAACGCTATTTGAACATTCTTAAAACTACAATTACTGTATATTTCAAATCACTAAATGCATGTCTTAAGAAACCCAATTCTGATCAAAAAGAGGCAAAGACTCAAAGGCGACGAAGCACTAAATAAACTAAAACCGCTGTATTAACAAACCCGAGTTTTCTCTTCAAAATAATGACAGAATGTGCTTAGTTTCCCACAAATTTTGCTGTTTTATCGACAAATATATACATTCGAGACTGAACAAAAAAGTACAAATAACTAATCGCTACTCACCGGCAGTAAAGAGGCAAACTTTTCGTTTAAAACTTTTCATGTTTATTGCTCCTGGACTTTAAATTCCAACATGGCCGATTTCGGATCAAAATGGAGTGAGTTACCTGGGTCTAGCACGGCTGCGGGGATTTGTAATCTGGTGTTGGCATCTATTTAAGACTATTTTAACGCCAAAAAGAGTCAGAAAGTATCGAATCACAACAGAATAAGCGCTAATATAAATACATTGAATCTATATTCTCGTTGGACTATGTGAACAGAGTGAAAAAGGACGAAATTATGTTGTGAAACGCTCGAAAATTATGTAGCTTATGCAAAATGGATTAGGTGATTTAGGTCCTATTTGTCTGCGGATTAATGCTAGGATTTGGACGGATTCGGATCACTGATTTGGATTAGAGTCAGATTAAAGAATTAATCGTGGAATTTTTTCGTACATGGAAACACTTTCTTCATTGTTGTTTCAAGATGGCGACCGCAACAGACACGAGAGGAAATGTGGTTAAAATGGACGTGGATTTCTCATCCACCGTCGATGATCTTCTGCCGAAATGTGAAGCATTAGTTAAGGTTGGGATTTGTCTATTCCCTTTTTGAACGCCATGTACCTAAAGTATGTTTATACAGAGCTTGTCATAGTGAACTTCATAATAGATTGATAACTGATTTGACTCTACATGGCCAATAAAATGATCGAGTGTTAGACAGAGTAAAATACTAAAGTAGACGACATCACGTTGCATTGCCACTTAAAAGGTAGACGGTATATAAATACAACGTTCTTACACATTTCTTGTTTATGATAGAATGGTAAAATCCATGAAGCTTTGGAAAATCTACTATCTCTAGAGAAACAAACTAGGCTTGTAAGTTGAACGTAATATTTTATTTGTCTTTATCCTTTCCACAATTTGAATCTCTTTACGGCTTTGCAATGATCCATACATTTGCTTCAAGGGAGCAGATCTTGCTTCGACAAGTCGACTTCTGGTGACGATCATAAAGATATGTTTCGAGCAAAAGGAATGGGAACTTTTGAACGAGCATATCCTAATTTTAACTAAAAGAAGAAATCAGTTGAAACAAGCGGTGACAAAAATGATCCAAGAAGCTTTCACGTATGTGGAACAGACACCAAATAAAGAAACAAAAGTGAAGTTTATTGAAACACTTCGAACCGTGACTGCCGGCAAGGTATGGGATCCTAACACAAGTGGAATTAACTGGATTTTTAAGTATCTTAAATGCCAAGGGAGAATTCCCAGCCACATTCTTGCGACCCTTCGTCCCTTCCTGGTTGATTGTAAGAACACTAGTATGGTAACTGATATTTACACTTTCAAAATCCTTTTTAGATATATGTTGAGTTAGAAAGAGCCCGACTTACCAAAATATTGTCTTCAATAAAGGAGGAAGATGGTGATATAGCAGGTTTGATTATACTTCATAAAATAAATGACCAATAAACTAATAAACAGCACTGTACCTCACTCTGTGTTTGGGTTAGGTAGTTCATCTTTTGAATGGTAGGATATTTTCAGTTACCGGTAATGATATCTTGCGAAATGATTCTAATGAACTTTTTTGTCTTTTTAAACAGAGGCTGCAAATATCTTACAGGAGCTACAGGTATTTGTGTTGGCAAAGAAAGCAATTTGACAGTTGAAAGAGATTTTGGGTCATATTTAATTAAAAGGTCTTAAAATCTAATCCAATTTGGTTCACAGGTTGAAACTTACGGTTCGATGGAAAGGAACGAGAAAGTTGACTTCATCTTAGAGCAAATGAGGCTGTGTTTGGCCAAGAAGGATTACATTCGTGCACAGATCATAAGCAAAAAAATAAGCATCAAGTTTTTTGAAAATAACAATGAACCAGTAAGTGCTACCGCTATATACACTTGCATTGCAAAGTGTTTGCTTGTAAGTCATTTTGTGTTCATTCTTTTCAGAAGCTAAAGTTGAGATACTACCAGCTGATGATTGAGCTTGCTCAGCATGACTCAGATTATCTGAACATCTGCAAGTACTATCATGCTGTTTTCAATACCCCAGTAGTTCAGGAAGATCCAGTAAAATGGCATGAGGTATGGTGGATCATCCATCAGGTGGATGACCAAGAGAGAACCTTGCTTCACGTTTCCTCTCTATGACTCGCTACCAAAAACCAAGTTATTGATTGTAGCAACTGAAGACAATCTTTGGAAAGTCTCTTTTGCAAGGCCACAGCCTGATTTCCTTTGCCTCCAACAAACTCTGATGGTTTCTGTGTAAAAAAACAACTACAAATTGAATTTTCCAAACCCATCTTCAAATAGCACAAGTTTGCATGCATCTCTAAGTTAGGTTGATTGAACTTACCTCTCCTCCTGTCCCAAATGATTCCTAGTATACTTGCTTGTTTCCAATGCTTTTGATGGCCCTGGTAATACAAATGTACAGTAGAGCACATTTTTGTTCAACTTTTACTTGATCAAAGCTTCAAAATCTCCAGGCTTTAAAGAATGTGATAATCTATCTTATCCTGGCACCTTATGATAACGAGCAATCTGACCTAACACATCGTGTGAATGAGGAGAAAAAGCTAGAAAATATCCCTATATATCAGTAAGTTTCATCATGTATCCACCTGAAATCGGCTCTATTCATAAGTTATGACAAGAAACTTGCTTGCTTTAATAAGGCTCTTTTATATTTATACATAAATCACAATTTTAAAGTGAAAATCAAGTCCATGAGTAAACAAATGGTTTTTTACATTTTGCACTTTTTAAAATACAATGGCTGTGTTAATATCTAATACCGTATTGGACTTGACGTCCACTCTAAAGCAATTCAAGACAGATCAAATCGAAGTTTCATTCTTTCCTTTTATCCGTTATATAGATCATTGTTAAAATGCTATGTAACGGCAGAGCTTATGAATTGGTCTGACGTCTCACAACAGTACGAACAAGAGTTGCGGCAAGGCTCTGTTGAAAATCCGTCCACCAATGTTTTCATGAATACAGAGGAAGGGAACAAGCGATGGGACGACTTCCGGAAGAGAATCGTTGAACATGTAGGGCTATACTACACGGCAAAAAACGCTCAAGTTGTTCCCAGTTTATGAGAACAGGCCTCCTCAACAATGTTGTGCTGCACCCCATGAACGATGTTTTCAACAACACGTTGCAATATTGTTAAGCGTAACAAGGTGGAACAACATTGTTGATAACATTGTTCATGGGGTGCAGAACAACATTGTTCAGGCCTGTTCTCATCAACCGGGAATAGGAGACTATCAATTGGAAAATAATTGAACTAACCTGCGAGTCATCACGGAGTGTACTTGGTGATGGCCATGTATTGTTGTTGGTCAAGCTGTTTATTACAAATTTGTTGATCCGTTGAGTCCCGTTATTTGCTGCTTTGCAATATTTCTGATAGGCCCCCGTTGATATGAGGATCTGACCGCACTTCAGTTCATCTTAATATCCTTGTAATCTTTACGCCTTTCTTGTTTTATTGTAGAATATTCGTATTATTGCAAAGTACTATACAAATATCACAATGAAACGGATGGCAGAATTATTGAGTCTTCCAGAAGCAGTAAGTTTCAATGAAAATCACCTTTTTCTGGCTTCTCTTTCCTCTCTTTGTCCAACGTTTTTGTCGAGATTTCCCGTCTCTTTACACGTGTCCATATTCCCGGTTATCTTGCATGATCTCCTCATCGTCTTTGCTTGCTCCAACTAGCCGTTCTTCACCTGTACACGTTCGCCCACTTCATGGTCTCTCACCTCTTCAATCCAAGCTGTCCATTCCCTGTCCATTCCCTGTCTCTGACAAGCTCTCCTTCATCTCTTCTTATTACATGTGTATATCATCTTAACCTTCCTTCCCTCATCTTCTCTGCAATGTCTACCACCTCACATCTTCTTCTAATCCCTTCATTTCATAATATCTTACCATCTCTCCTTCTTAACAACCTTGCTTCTATCTTCTTCTCTGCAATCTCTACCACCTCGCATCTTCTTCTAATCTCTTCATTTCATAGTATCTCTGACCAACTCTCCTTCATCACAACCTTGCTTCCATCTTCTTCCCTGCTAAGTCTACCATTTCACATCTTCCATCCCCTTCACTGAACGCTGTCTCCAGGGACCATGCAAGTTGTATGAAAGACTAGTTAACTTTTAACTGTAGTTAAAGACAGAAATGACCAATCAGAGTTGTGTATTTCTGAGTTTACTATAATTTAACCAATGCAAAATGTAGTTAAAGAGTTTTAAAAAACCGGCTCCAGACAGCTCCACTTCATGCCATTCATATTCCATTACAGGACACAGAAGACTTCTTATCAAACCTCGTCGCCTCGAAAGTCGTCTTCGCTAGAATAGATCGCCCAGGTGGTACAATATCCTTCTTACCGCACAAGGAGCCAAACGATATTTTGAATGAATGGTCTCATAATATAAACTCCCTAATGGACCTTCTCAATAAAACCAATCATCTTATCACCAAGGAAGAAATGGTTCACGGACAGGCTTCATAATTAAGATTTCAAGAGACTGCTCAGCATACTTAAAGATATTAGTACTTGAAGATATTCGCCTTTTCATTAACAAATTACGAGATGTGGAAAACATTAGAAAACAAATAGCTAGTGTTATCGCGTTTTTTTCATGAAGAAAATATGTTTTTTCCTTAATAAAATTTTATGTGGCGTGACCACAAAAACACAAAGTTTACGGGGTTTTTTTATTTTCTGCACGCGCATACATACATACATACATGTCCGCTTTAAATAAGCGTTCCATTTGCCCAGCACAAAATAAACATTGCATTTAACTGTTTCCATGTGAAGATAAATATACAATCATGCATTACATCACTTCTGTCATCTAAACATAGTTAGAATTAAATATATATAAAACACGATGGAAATACAATATAACATATGCCTGCTCTTTTCAAAAGGTTATCAAGGTAATAAAGAATTGTGTCACTGGATTTAACACGAAAATTTCGGGCGGAAATCTGTGTGTATGTTCGCTGACAACCTTCGTTTAGTTTGCTTGAAGATAAATGACCCTATTTTGCTCAAAGCATCCCATTTGAAATGTCACATCTTTGCACGACTAATTATACTGTACATCAACCTCATTTTAAAACAGACATTCTATCAACTACAGAATGAATTCATAAGTTAGATTTTATCATCGGGGTTTTTTAATCATATTCTGATCCGATTGTAATACTGATTTCACCAGGTTCAACGGTCGTGGCATGATACCAAGTATTCGTGTCAATCACGACTAAAAAAACAATATTAAAACGTTATAAAAAGGCGGTTATCTGTAGGTTTTGACGATAGCAAACCCCTTACCTATCTCACCCTTTTCAATGGTGACATTCAACATGGGTTGACAGACACTTTCGCATTCTGGAGGTGGGTAAAGACTCCAGGTCTTTCGGCCTGAAAGCTGAGCTTGCCAGGACGGTCTCTCCACATTGTCCAACTATTGAAAAATTGCAGAAATACGATGTATTTTTCACAAAGAAAAGGGAATCAAGTTACTTGGCAACTCAAAGGATAAAACCACTCTGCTAAACCCAGTTTTTATGCATGTATTTATGATTGCAGCCTGACTGAAGTGAATAAACTATCTTTGAGTCGATCGCTTGTGTGTTGTGTGCAAATCAGTCTGTATGTATTTTGCTGAGTAAATATGTCAGAGTTTTCAATTATTGGAACTGTCGTGAACATGTCAATGTGGCTGATGTGATAGAATATATCTATGTGTGTGCAGTAAAGAATGACCAATTTTAATACAGAAAATAAAGGGAAAATTACACCTGGGTTATTTCACATCGGTGAAAATGACTTGTTCACGAGAACTACTGCATCAATATAGTCTGAACGTTACCATAGTGATGCTTACGTGTATATTAGCACCAGGCCCCACGCCTCCCATAAATATCCAATCCGTCTCGCTGTGCTCTGAATCCGAGGGGATGAAATATGGTTTACTGTAGTGTTTTCGCAGCTCAGATCTTACTTGGCTGTCGCAATTACTCCTAAAAACGATAAGATTTATCAATATCACTGAACACACTCAGTGAGAATGAAATCCTAATCTTTATCCCAATCCCCACTGAGCAATCCCAATCGTAGATTATCTCAATCCTAATCACAAATCGGTTAATCTGAAAGGCCCAATTCTATTCATGTATATTTTCTGCCAAGAGTTTTTCCCATAGACTGAGAGTCTTCCTAAAGGCTTTATAACTCTCAAATAAAACTCTTTAAAAAACATGCTTTCAGACACTTGGAAAATTTCCGGACTCATTATAAGTGGCAGGAAAGAGGAAGCAACGTGTACCTCGCAACGGACATGATATTTCTCATGTCCTCTATGTCAAGTATTACTGCGTCACCCTTTTCCATGCACAAAAGCCTTAGTCGCGCAAAATTTATTAAAAGGGAGGAACGTATAATTAAAATCGTGTAGGCAGAAACTAAAATGTCCCCGTTTCCAACCTCTGCAGAGGTGACCAAATCTTCACCTGAATAATCAGTTATTTCCCCTATTATCCGGTGGAACACGTTTAAGCGAAACGAACTCGCTATAAAACGCTTCCAAAATCACGATTCGGGTAAAAATGCACTCGCGAAGTCACGAACAATTGAAATTCATCTATTTCATTTAACACACACAGCTGGTGTCGTGTGTGCTATCAATTATTCTAATTTCGAAATATTCTCTTCCGGTAGCACCGAGAGTGTACTAATGATGATTTGTATTGAAAGGAAATTATTATACAACCGAATTTCTTGCAACAAAACCCATTTCACAGCGCGTTGAAATTTCCCCGCATAGGTTACGAAACGTTAGAATGTGTTGTGATAATTTTCCCGCATGATACGTGAAGTTTTAGACGTTGAAATTTGTCTTATACAAATCGGGGGAAATTTAAGTTGTCGTTGTTAATACTTTATCGTCTAATCATAACAATATAGTTATTAAACTTACCAGCCAATGTACCAGGGTTCTGCCTTGAACTGCGATCTTGCTTTTGACATTCTAAACACATCTCGTAGGGAATGAAATTCTGTCTGATACGGGAAGAATTGACACTCTTCTTCGGTAGAATTCAGTGCTGTCTCGCTTTCTGTGTACAGCTTTCGGAAGTATTCGTAGGAGAATTCTTGCATTGCCGACCATGTTTTTGTCGCATCTGTGACAACAAGAGGCCGACCGCTGTAGGCGAATTTCTGTACAAATTGTTCTGGAGAGAGACCAGACAACTTAGGTACTTCGGTGAGATCTTTGCACATTTGACAGTCGGCTACGGGCCGCGCTGCTTCGAGCACAAATATGCTATTTTCAATCGAGCAAGGAGAGGTCTCGTCGAAGATATCCGAGAAAAAATAGTAGCCAAATCCCGCTAGGAACAGCGGAATTACTAAGGCAACAAAATAGAGTTTGTATTTTTTATACGAAGGCTCTTTCTTCGCTTGAATCCTTCCAGATTCTTTTAAAAATAAACGAAGAACATCTTCTTCCTTGCAACCTTTCTGTAATGCTGCTTGCTTTAAATTCTTAAACTTTTCAGCGAGTTCGTCGATTTTTCCTGCCATATTTCAACGTCTGACCTCTCGGCAAAATAACGAGAATTATTTGCATACAGTTGCAGGCAAATGCTAAAACCAATATCAGCTTGTTTTATGGTCGCAATGAATGAGTATTTCGTGTCACTTCCCGATATGCTGAACAGAGTTCACTGGAGTTATGTGATGCGGAACTTCGATGTACGTTATCACGAAGTGTCAATGCACTCAAATTACAAAGCCAATTTAAAAATCAGAGAATAAATAAATACAGCGTTGAATAAAAATTCGCGACTCGTTTATAAGCCAAGATACAATACAGCTGAGCAACACAGAAGTGAGTCTTTGTTTGGATTAACATATACACTTATTTTTATCGCTGTCCATAGCGATTTTAATATGCAAATGATGAAAACATTTATAGTATTATTACTCATTTATTACCAAATGAGTGAAATGACTCGACAAATGATTTATACTTATATACGAGCATATCGCCTTTATCTCTCGAAGACAAAGACTATCATTAAAACTTGTACGTGTTTAGGAAATTGTCTGACTACAAATCTTTCATGATTAGAAAAATGTAATAAAATTAGAGACCCACATCGCCGATGATGGGAATTTCAGACGGTTTAATTATACGAAGGTCTATAAAGTTTACTCAAATGCAACAAAGTTTATCAAGAAATTGACAAATAAATTTGAATACAGCGTCCATTTGTCGTCGGATTATGTGGAATTGTGGTTTAGTGTTTTGGACTTTCGGAAGAAATTGTCAAATTCAAACGTCATAATTTACCGATGATTTATCACAGATTAAAATGCTTAATCAAATTGCGTCATTAGGTTTCAATTACAAATGAAATACTGTGAGTTTGAGAATTGAAATTAAAAAAGAACAGATGAAAATTAATATAACATATTAAAGCCCCCACGGGAGGATACTGTGCACTCTTAATTTGTATGTTTTCAATTACACAATTCACAAAACATTTCAAAGAAAGATATGCTGTGAGAGTTTCTCAGGCAGACGTTGCCCACAAAATTATAAATTGATTATAAAATTTGATCGTTTCATCTTGAAAACGGCTCAATTTATTCATACAAGTAATTGCACTCATTTATACATTCGAAAGTCAGTACTAATCATTGTGTTTTTTAGTCCATTCGATTTTTAACGAAACGACTATTCTTCCATTATCATAAATATGCATAACCTCAACGTGATATTGAAGTTCAAGGATTAAGGATATTCCTATAGCTTGTGATTATGATCAAGCGCGTTTCCCCAATAAACATTTTATTCAATGTTTAACAGAAATTTTGCAAACCTCAGGTACATATAATTAGTCCGAAGCATCACAAGAAGATATATTGGACTAGACTAAAAAGTGTTTCGTGTTTCAAAGTCCAATATGCGGACTCCATTGATAAGATTTCAACGGGATTGCTAACATCTTATTTAGGCGGTAAGAGAGGGGGATTATAACACTCATTACTGTCCACGAATCAACTCTTATCATTATAAAAGACTTGAGTTAAAAATAAACCTGCCGCTTAAAAAAGCCTGCTTCGAAAACAACTCAGAGTCGGGCTCAATTCTAATAAAAATATCACCGCAGGTCGAACCCGATAAGGTTCAAATCCCACACGTCTCGGCCTCCGTTGTTGATATAAACATACAGTGTAAATAGTGTGGAATGGAAAATAGTAGTAAATTTGATATTATTGGCTCTCTCAGTCTCTCTCTTCCGTTCGCCCCTTATGTGAGTACTGTTTACTAGTTTTTATTTATCAAGCAGTGTACATACGCGCCTCGGAGACTGTCCATCCATCATCCAGCTTAAATCATTCCGTCAATCTTCTGAGATGACTGGCGAGTTGCTTGCTTGCCAGATCCAACGCCGTTTTCTCTTCCTACAAGATAAAAAAAATCCGTTCAAATTTTTGAAATACTAGGCAATTTGCTCAAAGATAGGTGGGTGATATCTGGTGTAGGCGATATTCGGGGAGGGGCAGTCACTCCCCCGTTCTGGCGTTCTCCCCACTCATAAAACACCCCCGCTACAACTCAAAAAGCACTGTAGAGCCTCGACTTCAAACGTACAGAAACTGCACAGTCCTGCTTCTTGAAGCTTGTTTAATTACCTTATTAAGAAGTGTCATATCAGCTTCGTTCTCAACCAATATTTGTGCGACTTGCGACCTGTCTTCCTCACAGGCCATATGCAGCGGTGTGTTCCCTTCAATGTCACCATGATTTGGATTTGCTTTTTGTTTGAGCAAAAAAGCCACCATCTTCGAATGACCTCTGGAGAATAAAATACAAAATTGTTGCTCTCACGAACAATTCTCAAATTTCACGAACAACTACGAGGGTTAATTTATGAAATGCGGCCTAAATATAGTTTGGGTACTTTGATAAAAGATCTCGCACCTGCAAATTACGGGTTACTTTTCGGTTCTTTAAAACAAGGTAAAGACTTCTCAAGTATTGCCAAATTATAACGAGTTTCATGCAACTTCTTCGGGGTTTTTTTCCGCTTAGACCAGCTAATTTATAACGCGAAAATCTTTTCCAGATCCCAGCAAAATAATTTAATAAACCGTACAGTAATGCTTAAGCCAGAGTTACCCTTAAAATGGCAACAAGTTGGAAAATACCAGCTTTTTCAGCTTAACCGTTTTTGTGGCGGATTTATCGCAAATATCGCTAAAACTGTCATAATGTTAGCTATTTTAACTATAACCTGGTTGTCAAGTATTTCAAAGGAAAAGGTTGGAGTGATTCTTTAGTTTCTCAGAGCGTCAAGGGTCTAAATTCTTTATGAGATCACCTTGTGTTGCTCAGCAACACTAAACTGCACTTGCAATCTTGCAGTACATCAGACAGCTGAGCTTCAAATAAATCTGGACATATTTACAGGGCAGCAGTATGAGGGTAGGTCCAATCTCAAATCTACCCCTTAATTATGTCATAAAAACAAATAACAAGCATTGTGCTCACCAATAGTGGGCCATTTTTTTTGCTGTTTACAGTTAAGGATGAAGTAAAATTTTCTCAAAATTGGGATATAACAATGTGGTTCTTAGCCATGTTATATATATTGAGGTACCTTTGTCATGAAATGAACCAGGAATTAGTATTTTTCCTGGACAAGAATTGTGACAGCATTACAGATTTGAATAATGTTGGGGCCCTACTTTACCTTGAAGCAGCACGGTGGAGTGGGGTTGCTTTGCTTGTTTTATCAAAGACATTCACTTCAGCTCCATGTTCAAGAAGTATTTCTGCAATCTGTAAATTTTGAGATGGAAAACACTCATTAATAAGGGATCAAATCAAAGGCTCAGAACTGCTCTTTTGATATCATCATGAGGAAAGAGTCTATTGGTGGATAAGCTATTTTTTTATGAAGCTACAATTCACCTGAAGCCTATTTTTCGATGCAGCATAATGTAGAGGTGACTGGCCTGTTTTGTTCGTGACATTCACATCAGCGCTGTAGCCAATCAACAACCTTACGACCTCCATCATTCCAGCTGACACAGAGATCATCAGTGGTGTCCATTCCATCTGGGCAGAAAAATATTGGTTGGTCCTCTTCCTTGACTTTCTGATTTGCACAAATGTACATATTTACTGATCCCACCTCATCCCTCACATCCACGTCTGCTCCTTGTTCCAACAAATATTTCACAACATCGACATGTCCACCAGAAGCAGCCCAGTGAAGAGGCACTCTGCAGCTCTTAATTAACATTTAATAACAAAATGAATGGCCAGAAAGATTACATCCTTCAATGGGAACAGAATCTGTTTGATTGTAACTAAATGTTGAAATTTGCCTGTACTGAAGGAATCTATTAATTTATATAGTGAAACTCTAAAATAAGATCCTCAGATTGCATGTCAGAGTACTAAAGAATTCAGTGAGATTACTTAGTTTCTTGCAACAAAAAAACTAACCTACATTAAGTTAAAACATTCACCCCCCTGAAACACTGTTGTGGCTAACTTCATGGGTGGTGATGGAAGGGGGGTTGTGGTTGAAACTAGTCCACTATGGTTTAGAAAATCTTAAAATTTGTTTCTATAGTTTGTCTGTTTAAAATCAACAATCAAAAACATTGGTACCATGAACATTGCCAGCTTGCTATAGTATATACAAAGTTTTAATTCTGTACAAAAACTATACAAAATATAAGTACCTACCTGATCTTTAGTGCGTAAGAGGACATTCTTTTCTTCAATTTTCTCTCTCAATTTTACCAAATTTCCTTCAAATGCTAAGTTACAAACGTCCAAATCTGACACAGACATCTCCTCCAACACCTAGTCCCAATAAATCACGTGCGGGTTGGCAACCTGAATGTCACAGCCTTTATTTCGTAATTATCGGGCGGAAAACAACGCAAGAGAAAACGGGGGGGGGATAACCATATTTTCCAATTTAAAGGCCTCACAATTAGGTAATGCTCTTACTACAAAACGTTTATCCTGTTTGTACGTTTGCGAAACAAAGTCCAATGTAAAAAGAGTTTTTCACCAACAACTGATGTATCTTGGAATAAATGTATTACATTGATAATTTATTAGGCCGAAAACACATTCTACGGTTCTACCCTTCCTAGCTTTCCTAGTTCACCTTATGAATAGATTAGAATTAAATTCATTGGATTAGACAAGATTCATTGCATTAGACAAATATGAAGAGTGTTGATTGTCGTTGCAGACTTGGAGAAGATTAAAACCTATTTCTCATCAACTCGCTATGAAAAATAATGGTTCAGTGCTCTATTTATATCGCAGTCAGCAGCCAAAGCGATCTCCATCAACCTGCCTCGGCTAATGTCACTAGGTAATACTTCACGTAAGCCGCTTATACAGTCCTCTAGGGAGTCCTTATCGACGGGCAAATCGTTTTGTAATGTATTTGTATTTGACAGGAACTCCAGATCCTCTGAGCTCTCGCTGTCAGACAGTTGTAAACCCTGGAACTAGAAAGGATATTGAAAATTCACAGTTTCCATAGAGAACTAACCTGGTATTGAAACCCTGAATTGCCAATCCCAGTTCGTACATATCCCTGGGCTAACAGTTGGTTGCATGAGCGTCAAAACTCTTATTACAATATAACTTTATTCCATGTCAATTGTAAGTTTATCTTGCTCATAGTACCGAAACTAACAATAAGCAAGAACCTGGTCTACCTTGAACCTTGGGGAGGATGAATAAGATTCTCCATCACTGTCTTCACTGCTACTATCAATACACCTAAAAAAAAGTTGGTTTAGTTTAGGTTTCCTCCTGTAGTAACACTGGATCAATAAGAGATGATCCTTACTGGACCTCTAGGAAGAACAGTTTAGAACTGATAGAGCTATCCAGTATAAATAAAGTTAGTTTAGTTTAGGTTTCCTCCTGTAGTAACACTGGATCAATAAGAGATGATTCTTACTGGACCTCTAGGAAGAACAGTTTAGAACTGATAGAGCTATCCAGTATAAATAAAGTTAGTTTAGTTTAGGTTTCCTTCTGTAGTATCACTGGATCAATAAGAGATGATCCTTACTGGACCTCTAGGAAGAACAGTTTAGAACTGATAGAGCTATCCAGTATAAATAAAGTTGGTTTAGTTTAGGTTTCCTTCTGTAGTATCACTGGATCAATAAGAGATGATCCTTACTGGACCTCTAGGAAGAACAGTTCAGAACTGATAGAGCTATCCAGTATAAATAAAGTTGGTTTAGTTTAGGTTTCCTCCTGTAGTAACACTGGATCAATAAGAGATGATCCTTACTGGACCTCTAGGAAGAACAGTTTAGAACTGATAGAGCTTTCCAGTATAAATAAGGTAAATTCAGTTTAGTGTCTAAGTACATGTTCCTTAATTTGTCCCTAGAAGTTTGGAATAGCTTCCATCAGTAAAGTCACCTTTTTGGCCACGTTTTATACGGTTGAGCGCGGTACGTCCCAAGCAAATCATTTTTGAGTGTCACAGAAAGACTTATGAAATCTCCATTATGTCGAATATCTTCCTCGGTGAAATTTGTTTGGATAAAACGCAACACGTCGCACTGAAAAAGAGTTGGGATATATCAAAAGTGTGCGAACACACACTACGGCAAAAGCATTGGGTGAAGGCTACCTTTAATTTCTTGGCGTTGAAACGATCTGCTAGGACAAGAATTTCAAAAATGTTGCTTTTTGTAAAATGGCAGATCATAGCTTGCTCACAAATTTCTTTTAAATTATCAACCTGTAGAACAAAAATATATAAATTAGGCCAGATGGCAGGGGTCGGTTGTATCAAGCCCGTTTAGCTTAAATGGTGTATAAGTTCAAAATAGAAAGCAATTCTATGGTTTTATTCAACAAGCAAACGAAATTATTTTAACCCTAATGCAAAGATACTGGCTACATACTATATAATTATTCAGTGCATAATATTCAAATTGACTCATTCAAGACGGAGATGTAAGAGTGTTATTTAATTTTGACTTATCCACCGTTTAAGCTAAACGGGCTTGATAAAACCCAAGATGACTTTTATTTTAGTAAGATTATATTTTACCGTTTTTACATTGAATAAGTTATTTTACTGAAGTAAGTTATCACTAAACCAAGGAACGTATGTTTAGACACATGCCAGATGAACAGCGGGTATTTAGTCCTGTGTTGATAAACCGAAACACAAGTGTAATAAAATATCAGATAATTTTCATGAGATACTTCCAAGATACGTAAGATGTACTATAAGATGTCTGATCTGTGGTATCTTAAAAGTTTAAACGTCTCTTAACAGGGGCAACTGTCTCCCGCCAAGTATTTTTGATAAGATTCTTGAATATCATTAGCAGTTTATATCCCAGCTGATTCCGGCTGCTTTTGGCAGAGCTCTCATTACTAAACAAGCTATGGCTTTTCAAAATTACAACCTTTTTGTACAAAACGAAGTAAAAAACCAATTAACGTTGGTACACTTCAACGTACACGGCTAAAAACTGTGAGTTTGCAGTTTAACAGCACGGAACAATGTTGTGCTGTTAATATTGTTCACATCATTCAACTAAATTGTTGAAAATGAACCGAGTGTCACAATATTGTTCAATGTTGATGATAACAACTTTGAACAATATGGGAGCAAAGACTAAGGGCTGTTTTCCAATGTCCCGTTTTTTGAACGTATACGTATAGCTACACCGGCGCAAGGAAAAGTTTAAAACCTTCTAAGTTGCTATCTAATGAATTTTATGCCAGAAAAACACACACCAAATCTTCAACAGAATCTAACCCTATGCATCTATTCAATCGTAGAATTGATAAGTATCATTCAAATGCATGATTTTAGGCTTTTACGTGCGTGTACGTACGTACAAGAAACGCGACAGTGGAAAGCAGCACTTAGACTATTTGCACACGGTAACATTTTTGAGCGTTTTCGCATTTGTTTTCATGCCAAAACGGTTTCAAACACCCTTAATTTACAATAGAAGTTGGAGCTAATTTAACATATTGAGCATATTTTTCCTTGGAACGTGTGGACAGGGCGTCAGAGCGATAAACTAGATAAAAACGATTTTGAAAACGCTCGAAAACGACGCTCGTGTGCAAATATACCCTTAGTTTGCTACACTTAGCAGCCTCGAACCCAGGCGCTTCCAAATATATATTAAAATGTAATAAGTAATCATATTACAGTATCATATAGAGTTCAGTTGAAAACGCGAGAAACGGGGGGGGGAGATACAAACTGGGCGCGAAAGGGATATTGGGCAGTTTGTGCTCTCCCTTCCCGTTTTTCGCGTTTTCAACTGAACTCTATAGGAGACTGTAATATGATTACATTTTAATATATAGTTTGAACCAAAAACAGTTCAAAGAGACTGGCCACCAACATATCGTTCCAGTTTCCTTAGAGTTCATTAGCTGCCCAAACAACATATTCCTAAATTACCTCGTAATGATCACTTAATGCCAGCAACTCAAGAAGATTCTCCAGAGTTTTTGACTCTGTGTTCAAATCACCGGTGTAAATAAACTTAAGAAATTCGTAGAAAGATTCTCTGTCAGTGTCGTAGACATGGATTGTCCTGAAATATAACAAAAAATACTAGTGGCCAGACGCTATAACTTGACTTCATGCAGAAATAATAGTGGATAGCACGAATAAAAACGCTCAGAATAGGTATACGTCAACTACTGCCATATCAATCGACCTTTCTCAAAATGACGCCAAGCCTTATACGAAGTTTGATTCCCCCGAGAAAGGTCTATCACTCAGTTTTGACAAAATGGCTGCTTTTTATGTATTTCCTAATTCCTAGTGTTTGTAAGCAAACTTGAAGACTGAAATTGTCATTTGTGAACACAGTTCCCTAATAAATGTCCATCAAATCCCACCTTTCAATCGACTCTTTCATTCCGCTTGTCAGTGCACGTCTGAACCAATCACATCTCGAGGCCAGGACAACGCGATGAGCCCGCAAACAACTGTTTTGATCAGCGGTTTCATCTTCAGCCAACAATGATTGGTTAATATCGCTACCATCACGCAGGAGAAACGTCATGTCGCTGTACTGTCCTGTCTTGAGCACAGACCCCATTGACCTTGATAAACTGACGCTGGCCGCGGATGCAGTCGTGTCGGTCAGCGGGTGAGGATTGTTAGTCTGTCAAAAGAAATAAAGTTGATGGAAAAAATTGTTCCTGATTGTTATTTCGGGTCGATACACGCTAAAGTCATTTTGGACGATTTGAATGTTTTTCAAAAAAACACCGATGATCTGTCTTGATTAATTGGCCCTGCAACGCTACGGTTTTAACAACCTTTAGCCGGTTTTCCACTAGCGATATTTTTCGCGCGAAGTGACATTTTACTTTTTTTCAGAGCTCTCAACTGCAACCATCTGGAACAAATTGCTCAAAAACAAAGGAATAAAGTCGCTTCGCGCGAAAAATATCGTTAGTGGAAAACCTGCTTAAGTCTAGTTCCTGATAAAATCCCCATGCAAAAGACACACCGACAAAGTTCCATGCAAAAGACACACCGACAAAGTTCCATGCAAAAGACACACCGACAAAGCCCAATGCAAAAGACACACCGACAAAGCCCAATGCAAAAGACACACCGACAAAGCCCAATGCAAAAGACACACCGACAAAAGACAGTTGCAAAAAGAAAATCATTATGGAAAGCTTTCAGTAAAGCCTTATGTTGCTAAAGATTCCTTATCTAATGTTAAAGTTTTTTTTAAATATATTGCGGATCTATTCATTTGTAAATTACCAGAATATGCTTGACTACAGCTGTTTTCAGAAAGTATAAAAACACTAGGTTATCCTCAGCAAGAGTTATAGTTGGGTTAGGCGACGCTAACAGCTACAAAATGGTTCATGGATGTAGCTCGTTTTTGTATCGAGTGTTTATCATTTGTCTCTGTTTAATTTTAGCCTGTTTTTACCGCGATGGCAGTTCCTCACACACCAGCAAGCAGAAATGTAGAATGAGGGCGAGCAAATTGAAAGAAAATTCGAAAAACGAAGCCTTGAATTTCGACGTTTTAAGAGAACAACAACGTTCAACTCCGTCACCCATCAAGGTGAGGATTCCGACGAAAAAAGTAAACACCACATCTTGTTCAAGTCCGACAAAAAGGAACAGAAATATCGGCAAAAGTATATCTTGGTTGAACTACGGGATTTTGCCAGACGTGAAACAGAAAGACAGAAAACAACACCTCATTTCACTGACAACAAAATATAAGCGAAGCAGACGGGACATTCGTACAGTCTCAAGTGAGTGCCGCAATTCTACCTTTACAGTAAAATATGAAGATGATTACACAGTGTGGAACAACTTTTCGATTAAATACCAGGGTGAAATATACCGTTTTGATCAGTACAGAGTCACAAAGGAAGGTCTAAAGGTTTGTAATTCTTCCAACACTCTTATCCAGCAAAGATGGCAGAAAATGAACTCCATGGAAAAGGAAAAGAGCGCTTCCAGACATTGCAATGTATCTGTGGATGGTTTTCCAAGACGAGATTACCAAGTTAATAAAATTTAAAAGTTTTCCTTAATCTTACCGGGCAAAGTTTCGCAAGGCAAAACTACGGAATAATTCATGGATATTTTGCAATTTGTTCGGCAAAATTACGTTTCTCCTGCATTGACTATTTGACTAAGGTTAAGTTTGGTGAAAATTATAGAGTTTCAAAAAACTTTACCTTACTTTTCAACTACAAAGTTTATCATTACAACGAATATCGATTCAATGACGACAATATTGAGATATGTGGTTCGAGTGATTCAGGGATCCAAGCTGTTTGGAAATCTCAAAATTCGTGGAGAAAGTATCGAAACGTTTCTAGATGCCTTACTCAAGGAATGTCTTTCTTGGAGGAAAATTATTACGTTGTGAATAGGCAGTTTATACTTTATTCTGCACATCATGGTCAATATTTCACAAGAAACGACTATGGGGTGAAAGACGGTAGAGCATATACATGCAAAGAAAAGTTACGACCAAAATCAACAGAGTTTACCAAGGAAGATCTATTAACATGCAACGATTCAATCATCAATATAAAATACGATGATGAATACAAAGTTTGGAATAACTTTTCAATACTCTATAAGAACAAGGTGTATGATTATACTGAGTATCGAGTTCTGAATGATACCATAAAGATTTGTAACTCCACTGATGACTACGTACGAAATATTTGGAAAATACGTAATAACTGGATAAAAAGAAACATGTACACTAAAAATTGCAAAAATCCCAGCCTTACTGGGGTTATAAAAGATCCATATGTTGTAAGCAAGCATTTTAATGTTTATTGGGCACGCGCTGATCAATATTTCACAAGAAATGATTATGAAGTGAAAAACGGTAGACCTTATACATGCAAAGAAAAGTTACGACCTATGTCACTTGAGCATACCAAGGAGAATCTATTAAAATGCAACGATTCAATCATCAATATAAAATACGATGATGAATACAAAGTTTGGAATAACTTTTCAATACTCTATAAGAACAAGGTGTCTGATTATACTGAGTATCGAGTTCTGAATGATACCATAAAGATTTGTAACTCCACTGATGACTACGTACGGAATATTTGGAAAATGCGCAGTCTTTGGGTTAAGTTTTTTAGGGCTGTTAAAGATTGTGATAAATTCCCAAGACGATTACAAAACGTTTTTGTGGGTAGGCAGTTTCAGATCTACATTATACAAGCTGGTCAATACTTAACAAGAAACGACTATGTGGTGGCAGGCGGTAGACCTTATATATGCGAAAAAAAGTTACGACCAGAATCAACTGAGTATACCAAGGAAGATCTATTAACATGCAACGATTCAATCATCAATATAAAATACGATGATGAATACAAAGTTTGGAATAACTTTTCAATATTCTATAAGAACAAGGTGTATGATTATGCTGAGTATCGAGTTCTGAATGATACTATAAAGATTTGTAACTCCACTGATGACTACGTACGAAATGTTTGGAAAATGCGTAATAAGTGGGTATGGAAACAAATGTCTTTTAAAAGTTGTGATAAGCCTTTCAGGATAAATTATTATGTTTTGACCATGAGGTTCGGTGTCTACTGGGCACCAGCTGACCAATACCTCACAAGAAATGACTATGGAGTGATGAACGGTGAACCTTTGGTATGCCAAGAAAAATTAAGACGGGAATCAACAGAGTTTACCAAGGAAGATCTATTAACATGCAACGATTCAATCATCAATATAAAATACGATGATGAATACAAAGTTTGGAATAACTTTTCAATACTCTATAAGAACAAGGTGTATGATTATACTGAGTATCGAGTTCTGAATGATACCATAAAGATTTGTAACTCCACTGAAGACTACGTATGGAATATTTGGAAAATGCGTAATAAGTGGGTGAAAAGCTTCATATATTTTGAAAGTTGTAATAGATCCATAATCACGAAAACACACAAGCGAGGGGATTTTCCTTTTCTGAAAGAAGTTAAGTTAAAAGAGACCACAATAAAGTATACAATCGACAAGCTAGGCTACAAGCAAGGGGATTTCCCTCTTCTGAAAGAAGTTCTCCCGGACGCACCAATAAATTACACAATCGACAATACAAGTTTCGTTGAGACAGAAAACAACAACACCTTGCATAAAGACATTATGCCTACAGAGATGACTAATATTAGCATGCCGTCTTTACGAAAAGCCGCAACAAAGTACAGTTACGGCGTGTTTGAAGGTAAATTTATAATATGTTCTGATAAACATGTTAATCTTGATATATCAGATATTGAACTTACTTTCATAGCACCATTTTGTGCCTTGGCTCTTTCAATTATTTGTTTATTATTGTTGTTGATAGTTTATGGTATGCTTCCAGAGTTGCGAACTCTTCCTGGTTTGAATTTGATGAGTTTAAGTTTCTCATTTCTCTTGGCATTGATTAATTACGTAGTGTATTTGTCAAGGTATTTACGTGTTGGTAAAGAATTGGATTTCCCATGTGCCAGGCTCGAAATAACAAATAAGTTTATTACATATAACATTCTCATGAATGCTGTTGTTAACATCTATCACTTGAGAAAAACCTTTCACCACAATACTTTGGTGAGATCTGATGTAAACAAGTTGAAAACCTTCTTTAAGTACAGTCTCTTTGGCTGGGGTGTTCCTGTCGTTATAACTGTTGTCTACATTGTTCTTGTAAAGACGAAAATCTTGAGGTTTCATCAGAATATAACCCAGAGATCAGTTTCTTGTATTAAGGATCATAATCTTCCTAATTGGCTGTTTGCTGTTGAGAATTATGGTGTTCCAGGCTGTCTTTTGTTGTACATCATTGCAATGTTCATCTTCACCGCTTATCGAATTCGCAAAAAACTCAGAGCATGTAGCAACAACATTGTACAGAAATCAAACATTGTTAAGAATCGCAGAAGCTTTGTGATGTTATTTAAGCTGTCAGCAACTACAGCCGTCAGTTGGATCCCTCTTGTATTTGAAGATTTAGTGTCTAATTCTGACCTAATGATAGCATTACTGACGGTAGCGTGGCTTACTGGTGTTTATGTTGGAATTGCGTTTGTCTTCACTCGAAAAAATTACCAGCTGCTTAGGAAGAAATATTTTAGCGAGGAAGTTAGCGAATACAAGACAGTAAGACAGCAAGAAAGGGCACAAGTGTGAGTAATATACGAGTGACATTAAAATACTAAGGAATCGTTTTATGTGCACATACTAGATTTTAAAGTTGACGTTGAAAGATTAAACACTAAATAAATATCGACTGCATATTTATATTTACGCTATATATAATAAACCTATACACTAGACAAGCCAACTCTGGTATTGTATTGAAAAGTTTTATCTGATATTGTAACTACAAAAACATGTATATTTCGACCGCTATATATATTCGTACGAAATATCATGTGTATTTAGAATAAAAGTACAGTAACATAGCAAATGTATGTAAAAATTAACTAAATACATGTATATTATACTATTAAAGAACGTAGACAGTTTGCATTCTATATCAAATTATATATATCTATAGACTATGAATATGTTAATATCTTGCATAAAATTAACAAGTATGTTAAACAACATTTAATGATTTTGTCATCAACGTATTCTGTGTAG